TAGGAAACGTTCAGTGAATGTTTCATTTTTAATGGGTGTTTAACCACCCACATGGAACCCCGAGAGAGTTTTCTAAAGTGCGTTGGGATCACTGCTCTAGCTCTGATGCTCAAGTCGCTATCATAGAAATAGAACTGAATCACTTGAAAACACGTTGCACAACGTATTTCCATCCAATTCCCAAAGGGGAGAGACCTTCACAACAGATTCCATGTCAGTCCAATGTGAACTTGAACTTGAACCAAAGAGCAAGTGAGAATTGAAACAAATCCTTCTTTGCGATAAAGAGACGTCATTTGGCATTGGATTTATAGTATCTCCGACATTCCACAAATCGACAGCAGCCAAACTAGCTAAAGAGGGATTTCAACAAGCACAGCAACAACACCTTCAGCACCATGAAAAAGATCACCAGATCCAACAACAAACAGGACTGGCTAAACTGTTGCACGTTAGCTGTTGAATTATTCCAATAGACAGCAGCTCCAAACCTCACAGACAGTGCCGACTACCATCTTCTTTTGCCTGAGCTCAACAAGTCATTCTTAATCAGCACTTGCACCAAAGAGGACCTATATATAAGAATCAGGGTGGCACATGTTTGGACACCTGGAAAAGAGTGTCAAATACCACTTGTTTGACTGCCATGCCCCAAAAGACCTCAGAGGTCAACCTTTTCCTTTGCAGTCACACACAACAGCAAATAGAGTGGAGTCCGCTTAAACCGAAATCTGTGGAACCCCCAGATTTCCTTTAGTTTAGCCACGTCTTTATGGCTTATAGAGGTTGTTCAAATGGAAGGAAAAACATTGGGGAATTTATTTCCTTTCAGTAAATTGCTCTGCTTTCAGATTAACACCATGTTCAAGTTAAGCGGACTCCACTGTATTATTTACGGGAAAACTCAAAACGGGCATTGTAGTGCTGATAGCAGAATATGTCAATGGGCTGAAGGACGAAAGTAAAAGCCACTGAGCTCCTTGATCATTACAATCAATGCAAAAAAACTTTGAACCTTTTTCTACTTTCATCCCTCCCTCCCCCAAATTTTTTCTTGATAAACAAAAACGCACACAGAGTTTAAAAAAAGAAAGCAACTGCAGTAGTTTAAAAAGAGTTTGAAAGAAAGAAAACACAAGAGACAGGTAAATAAAGAATAAAAAGATCAAGAGTTTCATGCATGTTTTTCTCATGTTGGATGTGTCTGCTACCTTGATATGAAGGAAGTGTATTCATTGGTTAAGTTGTTAAATGCAAAGTAATTATAAAGCGTAACTGGACTGCGAATATTGTGCTAGAGCAGCACAGCATAACATTCCTCTTCTTTTCACATTACAGATTATAAACATACTTGGGGGGGGGGGGATTGGTAAGTGTTTTATGGCGCTCCCAACTGCATAAGGTCATATGAGCGTGTGGGACACACCAAACTTTTTAGTTGGTAGGTAATTTTAAATTTTGCCTGGGTGGTGGCAGAAGCCTACTCTTATTGATTTTGGACCACCAAGGGATCTTTAACATGCCCAACTTGCACACGGGACCTCCAAGAGATTTTTCGCCCTTGTCCAAGAAGGCCAGGGGCAGATCATACCGACCATAAGACCAGGAATGTTTGCTGAAAGACAACAGTAAAAAGGAGCCAAGGAGAAGCAGTAGAAAGGCGGCAGAAAGAGTCAGGAGCCCACAGGAGGGGGAAGAGGAGGCAAGGGGGTGGGGGCAGAAAGTGGAGATGAAAGCAGATGACAGAATATTGTTAGAGACCAGGAAAGGATGTGAAAGTAGAAAATTTTCCGTCACTATCCGGATTCGAACCCGGAATTACTGAATGAGAGGCGAACACCTTAACCTCTAGGTCACTAGAGCCCCATACTTTATCCAGATCATACATAAGCAGAGTGCTAAAGAGACAAAGAGAGTAACATTTTTTTCTTTTGTTGTTGAAGTGGCCAAAGTGGCACACACTGATCTTTCATGTTTAGCCCAATTCGATTTTCGCAAATGTTTTGATTTTGCGAAATGAGTCGCCAGTGTCATGTATGAATTTGGCTTCCAAAGCAGTAGCACCCCTTCTAACATTTTGTGTACGATTTGTTTTAATGAATTTCTAAAAATCGAAAATTCAAATAGGAGGAAAAAATAAACAAACACCACCCCCCCATAAAACAGCCTGTATGCAGTATATCTGATCATAAATTAAATAAACACATGGTCAACGGTTCACTTTTAAATTCGTGGAGTACATGATTCATCACTTCAGGGGATGCCATTTATGTTCAGCTTTGTAGAAACAATATATGGGTGTTTTCTTCACTATACATAATTTAACTCACACATGGAGGCATTGTAAAAGTCAAACACATCACAAATAAAAAGCATAGTGACACAGTAGCAGATGTAGGAAAAAAAAAAGAAAAGAAGAAAGCATCATAAAAATCAGGATTGTCTCGTGAAATATAGTTTTTTCCCTGTCATCCTATCTATACACTCTCTTAACAAATGCCAATGGATTATTTTTCTTTTGCAAGTGTTTTATGGCACTCACAACTGCATAAAGTCAAAAGAACACGCCGGACACATTAAGCATATTCAGTTTGGTAGGAATTCATTTTGAATTTTGCCTGGGAGGCGGCTGGACCTTACTTTTATCGATTGATCACCAAGGGATCTTTAACATGCACAACTTGCACATGGGACCTCCAAGATCCTTTCGTCCTTATCCGAGAAGGCTAGGTGTTCGCTTTTACCTACACTAAGATCAGGATTGCTGCTGAAAAACAGTTGTAAGAAGGAACCAAGGAGTAGTAGCAGAAAGGCTGCAGAAAGAGTCAGGAGTCCAGAGTAGGGGCAGAAAGTGGAGACGAATGCAGATAACAGAACATGGTTAGAGAGCAGGAAAGGAGGTGAGAGGAAAAAATGTTAGAGAATAGAATTTTTCTGTTGCTGCCAGTATTTGAGCCCAGGACTTATAGAATGGGAGACAAAATATAGAAGCTGCAAGCCATTTCAAACTTTAAAAATAAAAAAGTAAACGCCTTCTAAGGACAAAATTTCAACTAGTTTTGCTCTTCATAGACTCAAATGTGACCTATTTGCTATTATCAAGGCAGTAGCTCTTGTAATTTCGCATTTTTTGGACATTCATAAATTCTTACTTGTAAAGCGGAGTTGAAGAGATTAAAACTGAAAGCCAAATGAAAACAAGAAGAAAATTATTATTTACCTGTACCTCGGTTGCAACATCCACAGTTTCCCTAGGAACTTCGGATCTGAAACTTTTCCGCAGCATCAAGTGATCAGGATCCCCTACCCATCCACCAATGCAGAAACGTGCTTTGTGTTTCTGCAGCAGGCTAGGGTTTGTGAATGTCATGCTACAATCATGACATTTCCAGTTCATGGACATTATGTCCTCCATGGCTGAATATTGCACTGTACTGGTACGAAATGGTTTTAAAGAAATGCGAAATCCTTTGCTTCTTATGAGCTACATGTTTCTGATCTGGGGAAAAAAATGAAAAAATTAAATAAAGATACTTGTGCTACTGAGATCATAATGAAGGCATTTGAGGAGAAAGTAACATTGAGAGTGCATGGAGTTTAATATGAGTAATTTTTTTTCATAAGTAGGCCTATAATTTAATAGGTCATCTTTGTCTTTAGAAATTCACATAAAAAAACCTAAACAATATATAATTTAATGTACTAAATTGTAAAACTCAGAAAATCTACAGAAGCTGTACCATTATATCCAAATGATGCCCTAATCCCGTAAGTCCTTAAAGCCACACCACCATATCAAGTGACTAACAAAACAAACCAGTTCGAATCAATTGGTTTTGGCTTTGCATTTATTCTTAAAAATCAGATTGTCGAAAAATGAAAGCCTTGTGCGAATGAAAAATAGGGAGGTGGAGGTGGGGGTGCAGTGATGCTTCCAAATGAACAACCCCCCTCCCCTCCCCCCAAAAACAACAAACTAACAAAGAAAAAAACAATAAGGGGAAATCTGATCTGCTGGAACCTCGGTTGATTTCTTTTAAAAATTAATTAGCAGGTGCCACTCAATGGCCAAGCACACTTGAGCTTCACTTTAGAAGATATAATGATCAGTAAATTAATTTAGTAGCCTACATAAATGATAAATAAAAAGTTTTCAGAATTCAATGTCCTAACCCTAATCTAAATTTAAAAGATCTAGAATCTAGGCCTATTATTACTATTATTAGTAGATCTATACTAGCCAAACGCCAAATAAAATACTTTTTATAATTTGTTATGATAAATGAAGTTCATTCTACGAAGGAGATGCAATTATAAAAGAGGCCCTGAACAAAAAAAATAAATATTTTCTAAATGAAAAAGAATAACAAAAAATATGAAAGGTTTAAGTGTACCTCTTAACTGTGTTAAATTTCTTTACTTGAAACGATGCCATCACTCCAGCACACCCCAGCCCCGACAAACACCTCAAACTTCTCACTTAAGACTGCGCCATTGTGATCAAGCAAGAGTCATGTGAACACACCGCCCGCGTTCATTGGATGTGATCATAGCAACGCGTCCATCATGGCCGATCATGTTGAGTTAGTTTATAAGTTTTCCTTCTTTAATGTATGATTTTAAAAAAATAGAGAATAAAGCCTCTCTCACATCTCTTTTATTTACAAAAGAGTATTTAAGTCAAAGGCTGCAGAATAAAATGATTTTCTTAAAGAAATATAACTTTTCCACAAAGGAAATGATATCAGATAGAAAACCATTATGAACACCGTAAATGACCTTTGAACCTTTACTGTTTGTCTTCATTTAAAAGTATAAGTTTGCTCTTAATAGTAGAACAAATTTACAATACTATAGCTCTCTTCTTTCAAATTGCAGTATAAATATGGAAGAAAATACGATGATATGCTGACAAAATATTTAGTTTGTTTTTTTCAGAAAGATAAATGTTCTCATCGAGACAATGAATTTGCTTTTCCCTTCCAGCTTTTTAATCAGGTAGTCATATCATCTCATCTCAAGGGACTGCGGACTGCGGACTTTGTGAACCTGGGCCGATGACCACCGGCTTGCTGTGTGAAGATCATCTCACAACTTTGCATAATAGGCCTGCATAAGAAATCTGTTTAAATTGCAGTCAATTTTAAACTGTATAACATGGAGGTGAGTATTTGCCATATCCTGCTATCGTAAATGGAATCTCTCATCTGCCGAGGGCATTAAATTGCAGCTCATTCAGACTCAGACTCAAGTCTACTCAAGACTTTTTCGCCCTTATCTAAGACTTGGCCACCTCTATTCTCACCCGGGATGAGAATAGTGCAGGCTAGTCTTTTGGCTATTCTCACCCGGTGCGCGTTCACTGTTATAGCCTAGATCTAGATCTAGGCCAACAAATTTTGCGTTCACCCTAAACCACAGAATTCTACACTGTGATAACAGAAAAATTGTAGCCTACTAAAAGCGTACAATTTTGTATCATGTGGCATGTGGGCAGTGGAGAGAGAGAGAAAGAGACAGAGAGAGGAGTAGCGTGAGAACTTCCGGTCAAAACAAAATGGCGACCCGCGTAGTTCTGCTCGATTCGAAAAGTTAAATAGCCGTAGCATCTTTGTAGACAACCAAATTAATTTACTTTTGTGTTTTAACATCATTTTTTAACTTTGTTTTTGTCAATTTGATCGTCCACACTGATAGACAGTATTCAGAAAGAGACAGAGAGAGAGAGAGAGGGGAGGAGTAAATCTTGCGAGAACTTCCGGGCAAAACAAAATGGCGACCCGCGTAGTTCGGCTCGATTCGAACAGTGAAATAGCCATAGCATCTTTGAAGATGATCAAATTAGCTTACTTTTGTGCTATAACGTAATTTTTTCTTGGCTTTTATCAATTTGATCATCCACACCGATAGACAGTATTCCAAAATGAGGAAAAGCAGGTCTTGTTTCGCACCGGATGAGAATAGCCTACGCTGGCAAGTCTCACCCGGGGTGAGAGGTAGATCGTTTTTCTATTCTCACCCCGGATGAGAATAGCCACTTCCCTAAGACTTAGGCTCACCACTGCCTGCTAGAGTAATATTACCACTGGTTCGGTCAAAATTTGGACGAAAATAGTGTGTCGACTTTAAAGCTTTATATCTCCCAGATGTATCTGCCTTCCCCAAGAGGAAAACCGAAACTTGCTACAGGAAGCCCTGTAATTTGATGAGCCCATAAATGCACTGTTTCAGCTTGTTCCCACATTATGAGATGACTATATTTGAGTTTGAGGCCCTAACACCTGTCACTGACAGGGTGCGAACATGATGCCAGATGTATTTTCGTGTTCAGTCTCAATTTTTTTGTATTCTCATGGATTCGGGCTGTATTTTGGCATTTGGTCGTTTTCAATTATGATCACTTTTGTTTCTTTGCAAGCTTAATAACATGATTAATGCTTGTTATCAACCCTTTGACTTTGACACAATAATGATAGTGCGTCTAAAGTGGTTTTCACCATTTTTATAGCTATTTTAATGAGTATGTATCTGACTCACTCTACTACACTTCTTGGCCATTCTGCAGTCTACAGTACAGTGAGAAAAGAAAGTTTGCATTATAACAGAACTTGGTCCACATCAGCAGCGGGATTTTTAGCTAAAAAACAATGTTCGCTCTTTTTCCTGTACGTGGTAGGATAAGTATGAATGGCTTACGGTGAGCTTGTCCAAATAGAAATTGTATTCTTCCCATTGTCTGCTTTTTACTGATCGATCAGACACTGACAAGGTTTGGTCATCAATCACACACTCTCTCTCTCTCTCTCTCTCTCTCTCTCTCTCTCTCTCTCTCTCTCTCTCTCTCTCTCTCTCTCTCTCTCTCTCTCTGCCCCCCCTCCCTCCCTCCCTTCTTCCCTCTCTCTCTCTCTCTCTCTCTCTCTCTCTCTCTCTCTCTCTCTCTCTCTCTCCCTCTCTCCCTCCCTCCCTCCCTCTCTCCCTCTCTCCCTCTCTCTCTTTCTCTCTCTCTCTCTCTCTCTCTCTCTCTCTCTCTCACTCTCTCACTCTCTCACTCTCTCACAAACAAACAGACATACATAGACTCGCAGAAAGCAATAGAAAGAACACGACTACACCAGGGCGCCCGCCAATTCTAATAGTAGTTAGTAAGCCTATTGCCCTTTTGCTCACTTTCCAATTATGCACCACCTTATCTGCAACCCAAGCGACACCACTGGTGATGATGTAGAGTAGATTTAGATTTTCATCTAGATCTAGAGCTTGTTCATTCTCGTATGTCCTCGTTAAAAAAATTGTAGATTTTCTAGCTCATTTATTAATTTAGATCTAGAATCTAGACCTAGATTAGATGTAGACATTAGGATAAAGATAGAAAAGTTTTGAATTTGTAGATTGCAGAATGTATATGATGTTTTTACTTTTAAATGTAAAGAAATATGCTTTGATCATTTGGTGTGATATTTTTGAAAGCCAACAGATTTGTTTCGTTATGATTTTCTTATTAACTTTTCTATGTTCTCTCTTTTAGGTTAACGTGGTTCACGCCAAGTCTGGGAAAGAACTGGCCGTCATTGCAGGGGTAAGAAATAGATAAAATTTGTGTAGGCTTGTCCACAATGATGTACCCTTGAAATTCTGATCTGTTTATTGTTTGATGCTTACTACTGGAGACCCTTTTCACTGAGAACTTTGGGTTGTTTATTGGCCAGTCATAGTTAAGTTTTATTAAAACTTTTGGTATTAGTATGTTTACATTGGGAGGGATGGGGTGTCAACGGAAATTTTAAAAAATAGTGAGTGGGGGGGAGGGGGATTGATCTGTATTGGCATGAAAGTGCTTTGTGGTTGAATGAATTTGAAAGTGAACAGAGCTGTGTCTGTAGAACATATATAATTTCTCTTTGTTTTGAAGGACTTTTAATAATTAGTGTCATTGCTAACTAGCCCTTATACAGGGAATTCATGTGTCACACAGCTCATTGCCAGTGACCTTTTCAATTTCCTCTTGTACTTTTTTGTTTGCAGCTGCATCCTAAGTCAACAATCTTGGATGTGAAAAATGGGCTCCGAAACATTCGTAAGTGTATTTGACCTTAAACGTATTGTTAAAAATATTTGTAAATTTGTTTTTCGAAAACTGAAATGGCCAGAGATGGGTTCTTGTTGCAGTCCTTAATTCTCACAGGCAATTGTGGGTGATGTATGTCTTAGGTTAGCTTGAAAAATCCCCCTAGTGGGCAGATTTCTTTGACTAATGAACAGAGATAACCTTTATTTCTTTAAAATGATTGTAAAAAAAAGCTGAATTCATGGAGATAACAGGGCTCGTCACTGTGAAGTGTTACCTAACTTTCTCTTCTTTTATGATAGCAGTGAACTCATAAAATCAATATTTTTTTTAGAATGGCACCTTGTAGATGTACTTATTAGCTGACATGCCCTTTGTTGATTTTTAATATTTTCTTCCTTTTTCAAGTTTGATGATGTTTTATACTCCCTACAACAACACTATTTTCTGACAAATAAAAAGATTTTCTATCATGTATGCTGTTTAAATCCTGGACATGGTATGAGAGTTTTAACTGTACCCCCACATTTTTTTATACTCATTCCTTGATTTTAATCTCTTGAGCGTTTGATGGAATCATTTTTATGTATGCAGGGGGGGGGGGGGAGGAGCCGAAATAAATTTCTTGTCGAGATATGTTTTCAGCATTTCTTGTTGCATTGTTTTTCAAGAAGATAGTCTTTTGTTGATCCTTAAGTAGATGTAGACCTGATGTCAACATTTTGTTATTTTAAATTTTCAGAACCCAAGTACTATCCTGACCGCCAGTCCTATAAAGTTGATCCCCGTAAGTCATAAACATTTTGTACTTGTGTGTGGCAGCCCATCTTCTCAACATGAAATAGGGATATTAATTGAACATGTTTATGTGGCAAATATCCATATATGGTTTTCTTTTGTCTTTCATCTATCTGTTCTGTGTTATTACAGATCAATGAATAGTGACACTGTTAATCACCAAGGTGGTTGAAGAACCGTCTGGTAAAATTGTTTTTCTTTTTCTGTCTTATTTTGCCTCTTAGTCCTCACACTATTAAATTATTTATCATAAAAGCGTGTCCTAGCTCTGCAAAAGAACATCAATTTAAGAACTACCTTCTAGTCCAAATTCCAATATGCTTTTGTCCTGTTGTATTGTGCTTTACTGGCACTGGAACAGAAATGTGAAGGTATGGGGTTAGTGATTGATGTTAAAGTTGCTATGATTATCACTCCAACTGCTATCTCCTGTCCTCTTGGCTGCATTTTCCTAATTTACGTGTATTATCTGTACTATGGTTATGCTGAAGTTGTTTGTGTGTACCTAATTTTCAATAAACCTGAGTGTTCTTCCCTTGAATCAGAATGTCATATAAAAAAAACTTTTATAGTGGGTGGTTGGCGGGTGCTCTGGTGTGGTTTGCTTCTTCTTTCCTATGAGACGTCTATCGTCCTTATCTCCCCTTCTTCTTTTTTATGTTTGTAACTCTCTTCTAACAGTAACACCTTTAATCTTCTGGCGCTCATATGATCTTATGCAGTTGCGAGCGCCGTAAAACTCTTACAAAAACGAAAAAAACTTTTATACTCTCTTTCATTAAATGTAAAGAAAAGATGTATCAAGTTTAGTTTTGTTAAAAATGGAAAGTGGTTAGAAGGATTCAAATGGTGCACTAGACGAGCTAAGAGTACATGAAATGAGACTGAATCATGTTGGCAGTGATTGTGTCCTCTTGTCAAAGGTGATACAGTCAAACGTGTAGAACAGCCACCCATTGTCATGGAGAAAAGTTTGCCATTTAGACAGGACTGATCAAAATGAAGAAAGCAAATCATTCTCTTCTGAGGTCCAAACTGGGGCTGATCTCAGGATTGGGACTGCCATAAGGTGAATTCAAAGGGATTTTTGTTTTTTTTCAAAAAGGGGGGGTGTGTGATGTAAGATGGGTTTTTTGTTTTTGTTGGCTTTTTTTAAAATTAGCTTTCTTTTTATTACTGATTTTGTGCGAGGGTAAAATAAACAAAATATTATGCAAATGATGAAGGTCGAGTCCCATGGTAAAACAAACACATGGGTTGCCACCACTCTGAGAATGAAAAATGCTGCTGTCGCAAGTTCACACCAACCTGCATTATAACTTTGTTACAGATTAGGTAAACAAAACAGTGACCGGTCACCTCACACACAATTTGTGCATGAGTTACGGACGGAGCTTATAGGTTATGACGGATCACGCTTCCCACACCAGCTGTTGAAAATTTATTGCTAGGCCTACCCATTGGTCAACTTGGGTAAACATTCATTGGAGGGACTAACATTAATGACAGGTGAATTAATTATGACGGCCCGTCCACTGCGTGAGGGGCCGATTCAAAATTTATGAGAAAGCGTCGGGAAATGAGTGACCACGCCTGGCGGCCTGAGGCAGGTAAATATGACAGAAAGAGGGTTGATAAAATAAGGTGGCCGTGGCTGTGTTGGACAGGGGACCATTTGATTTTACACAATGAAATTATGTAGAAAAAACGCAAGGGGGAAACTGGAAAGTGGCCTTTTATACTGGTGGCCGTCGTGGCAGGTTCGACTGTAGTTGTGTCCGAGATGGCAGTGGTTGTAGGGGTGGCTATTGGTTACGTTTTCTATGTTATTGTCATTCTCATAATCTGCTTTCATTTTTCCCTAATGTCAGGCGGAAAGATGGTAAAAGATGGAGACTCTTTAGAAAGTTTGGGTATTACTAATGGAGGCAAACTCTACTTTAAGGACCTTGGGCCACAAGTTGGATGGACAACAGTAAGAAAACTTTTTTTTTTTAAAACTTATAACATACTGCTTTATATTTAGTTTGGTCATTGAGCGATGGTTGTAAGGTACCTCCTTCCATCTTTTTTCAAGGAACTAAAGATAAGAGTTGTGTAGACAATGTTTTACTTTATCTCAAACATACAGTTCCCCTTGGTTGTCTGAAGATTGTTATCTTTGCATGTCTAATATAAACCCTGAAACACCTTTTTTTTTATTGAGCGGGATATTGGAATTTAACCATCGGTGGATCTCATGTCTTTGTTTTCCTAAAGTAACCAGTGCCCTGTGAATGATACTCTGTTTTAAAGATCAAACTATGTCTGTATTCATCAGAAATAAAAAGAAGGACATGATGACAAAGTATTATCTTTGAGAAAAGTCCTTTGATATTTAGTGTTTAATAACCAGCGATAATAATGCCAAGTTTCTCCTTCACTATGTATAAAAGTATAAAAAGAAATCACCAGCAGTTACAGTCTATTTTCGCTTAGGTTTTATCACCGTTTGTGAGTGGTACCGTTGTTCAACTAGTTTTGTGTCATTGTTCTTGTTTTACAAGATGTCCAATTTCAGCTTATTATCCGATTCACCAGGTATTCCTGACAGAGTACGCGGGGCCTCTGGTGATCTACTTAATATTTTATTCAAGACCTTCCCTGATCTACGGCGCAGGAGCTGCTTCCAAACCAATTGCTCAAGTGGTTCAGTAAGTGCCTCAGTTGTTGCTCTATGTATGATGAAGTGGTTACTTTTAAGCACAAGGGGGCTGTCCCGAAAAATGCTGTTTTGAGAAAATAGAAGGTAAAGTTTTTGCCCCTTGTTCAGTTTCTTTAAAAGACAAGGAGAGTTTTCTCTATAACCAAACAAATATGCACACCAATGAAACCAGACTTCCCTACTTTTGGTGTAGGTCAAGATTTCTGGAAGCCCCTGAAATCTGGGTTAGCCTGCTTGTCATTAAAAGCGACCAAGTAATCTTAGACTTATAAATGTTTAGTTCTTGTCAGTTTCTTTTAGTCTTCAGATGAAATGGTTAGGCTCAGAATTTGTTGTTTGTAAGTAAAAAGGAAAAGGTAAAAAAAAAAAAAGAAGCTAGGAAAACAGCACTACATAATAATACTCATTAGGACATTATTTATTTACTGGTTAGTTTCCCACACTTTGAGCTGTTTGGTTACAATTTGGTTAATTAATTATGTGCATATATTCAAATGAGTGCATAATCAAACATTTAAAACCTTATTTGTCACATTTTTTAATTCGTCAGTTTGCAAACACAGATTTGTATACATCCACATGTAACAGAATGGACATATATATGTCTATTATGAAGCCATATGTTGGCTTATTTTTAAAAGTAATTATGCATATTTAATTATTCATTTGCATATAATTAACAAAGTATTGAGACTACAACGTTAATTCTTTCATTTTTAATTTTGTTGCCCTAAAAACATAAACTCACCTATTTTCAGCTCTTTTCTTTTATAAATATGAAAGTTCTGGTTTTTTCATGTTCTGGTACCGTTTATTCTTCTTTATTCTTCTATAGGAATTTCCTTCGAGATACCCACAATTTCTAACACGGACACAGCCATAGCTTTTTTATTTATGGACTGATTTTGTTTGAAAAAGTAAAGAGCATTTTACTTCTGGATTATTGATCTTTGTACCTGTGTTGTTTATACGTTAGTAGTACCCATCTTTAAAAAAGTTGTGATTTTGCTATATAGAATATTTAGCCATCTTACAATTTTTTGAATGACCAAGACATCAGTTACGTAACATTTGTCTCTGTCTTTTTCCTCAGTTTGGCTGCAGGATGCTGGACATTCCATTATGCTAAACGTCTGTTGGAGACTATTTTTGTTCATCGTTTCTCCCATGCAACCATGCCTATTTCCAACATCTTCAAGGTAAAGGGAATTTTTATGCCTCCCCTTTTACATTTGTCTTACTGATGCCTAATTTTTTGCAATTCAACACTTCTAAATTTATCTTCATTTTTGCTTCATAGAAAGTTTTATGAGTTTGGGTATAATTTTTTTAGTCATGGAAAATTTTTTTTATGAAGTGGTTGTTATTTACAGTACAATATATTAATTTCAAGTTGTTTGCTGCCTTGAGAACTTACTCTGAGCTGCAGTTTTAAATTTAAGTGGAATGAGTACGAATTGACCTTTGCATGAACAATTTGAGGCTTCTGTTTAGGTTTGTCACTCTTTGTAAGTTACCACTCCCTCTTGAAGTAAGCATTATACGAATAACCTTGTAGTAAATACAATTTGTATGTCCCCAGAATTCAATTTACTACTGGGGCTTTGCTGCCTTTGTGGCTTACTTTGTGAACCATCCTCTGTACACTCCGCCAGGTATGTGATTCTATATGGCTAGTGACAACTCAAAATAAAATGCTGCCTTTGTGGCTTACTTTGTGAACCATCCTCTGTACACTCCGCCAGGTATGTGATTCTATATGGCTAGTGACAACTCAAAATAAAATGCTGCCTTTGTGGCTTACTTTGTGAACCATCCCCTGTACACTCCGCCAGGTATGTGATTCTATATGGCTAGTGACAACTCAAAATAAAATGCTGCCTTTGTGGCTTACTTTGTGAACCATCCCCTGTACACTCCGCCAGGTATGTGATTCTATATGGCTAGTGACAACTCAAAATAAAATGCTGCCTTTGTGGCTTACTTTGTGAACCATCCCCTGTACACTCCGCCAGGTATGTGATTCTATATGGCTAGTGACAACTCAAAATAAAATGCTGCCTTTGTAGCTTACTTTGTGAACCATCCCCTGTACACTCCGCCAGGTATGTGATTCTATATGGCTAGTGACAACTCAAAATAAAATGCTGCCTTTGTGGCTTACTTTGTGAACCATCCTCTGTACACTCCGCCAGGTATGTGATTCTATATGGCTAGTGACAACTCAAAATAAAATGCTGCCTTTGTAGCTTACTTTGTGAACCATCCTCTGTACACTCCGCCAGGTATGTGATTCTATATGGCTAGTGACAACTCAAAATAAAATGCTGCCTTTGTAGCTTACTTTGTGAACCATCCTCTGTACACTCCGCCAGGTATGTGATTCTATATGGCTAGTGACAACTCAAAATAAAATGCTGCCTTTGTAGCTTACTTTGTGAACCATCCTCTGTACACTCCGCCAGGTATGTGATTCTATATGGCTAGTGACAACTCAAAATAAAATGCTGCCTTTGTGGCTTACTTTGTGAACCATCCTCTGTACACTCCGCCAGGTATGTGATTCTATATGGCTAGTGACAACTCAAAATAAAATGCTGCCTTTGTAGCTTACTTTGTGAACCATCCTCTGTACACTCCGCCAGGTATGTGATTCTATATGGCTAGTTTTTCAACCTCACTGCGCGACTGTTTTTCTCGTATAAAATTTTACACATATGCATTTATATTATATGTATAATACTTTGTTTTACGTACACACTTGTCGATTAATTTTTAAGATGTGATGTCTTTTTCATTGTAATGCGCAATGAGCATCTTTTAGGAAATGGAAATGCGCAGTATAAATGCTATTTATTATTGTTATTATTATTAGTGACAACTCAAAATAAAATGCTGCCTTTGTAGCTTACTTTGTGAACTATCCTCTTTACACTCCGCCAGGTATGAGTTTCTATATGGCTAGTGACAACTCAAAATAAAACTTAAGACACGGTTTCTATCCGAGATATCAGCTTAGAAAAACTGCTGGGGTCAGATTAAGACTCGGCATATATGTTTTAGAAATGAGCCTAGAAAAACCATTGGGTTCAAACTGGCACTAAATAATGTTATAGGATTTGTAGATGAATTTTTTTGTACAATAGTCGGATTTTGTAAACATGTCCCATTGAACTGTAGCGCTCACATGACCTTATGCAGTTGCGAGCTCCATAAAAACTCTACTAAAACGAAAATAAAATTTAAAAAATGTTATTAATCTTAGAACTAAATATTTAAAGATGTTATTAATCTTAGAAGTAAATATTTTCCTCCACAGCACATGGAGATATGCAAATGTATGGTGGACTAGCAGCATTCATTGTAAGTAAACCATGTATTGCAGATTTGTCATTTTTATTTTGCAGCTTTTCTTTAAAAAGTTTTTGCTTTGAATGTTTCCCCATTTGTGGGCCCTCCTCTCCTTGTCACATTTTCATTTTTTACTGCATTTTCTTTTCTTGAAGTGGGTGGTTGGCGGGTGCTCTGGTGTGGTTTGCTCCTTCTTTCCTATGAAACATCTATCGTCCTTATCTCCCCTTCTTCTTTTTTGTTTGTTACTCTCTTGTAGCACCTCTAATCTTCTGGCGCTCATATGACCTTATGCAGTTGCGAGTGCCATAAAACCTCTACTAAAACTAAAACTTTTCTTGAACCAACAAAAGCAATTGCTTTTCTCATTTAAGAACACTTTTTTGAAGAATCATATTTACTTGATGACGACCAGGTTAAAGAAGGCTTAAATTGTTCCACAAAAGTCGTGAATTCTGCTGCTGCTGCAAGTTTTACTTTCTAGATTGTTCCCAGGTTGACTTTTTTCAGAAACCTGTTCGTTTTTGTATCATACAGCATTCTCATTTTGAGATTTTCTGAAAAATTAAAAGAAGTTAAATTGACACATTTTGTCAACTACTTTGAATCAAACAGACAGTGGGAGGGACGACATGTTGCCATTCAGTATGTTTGGATTGATGGTTGTTCTTTTTCTGCTATTCCAGCTGGCTGAGCTCGGTAACTTCTCAATCCACCTCGCTCTCCGAAATCTCAGGCCTGCAGGTAAATATTGTTTGTGTTCAGTGGAACATTTAGTAGAAGTTGGAAATGATTATCTGTATTGCAAATGACCATGCAATGGTGTATCAGAAATTGAGTGTGATATTTTTCTTTTTTTTTTCAAAATGGAACAGATAAAACAGATAGATATTGTTTTTCAAAGGACTTATTTGTTAAATCTGATCCTTAATGAGAATAGGGTTTTTTTTTGGTCCCTTCAATCAAAAAATATCCAAAAATTTTGGCATTATAATTATTTAAAAGTGATTTCTATTTTCTGATTCTGATCGCTCAGCAATGTATTCAAAGTTGCTTTTAAAAAAATTAATTTTGGTGATCATAAGGAAACCAGTAATGCTTTTTGTTTATGTTTGTAATGCTTATATTTGCATTCTTGAATACTGTGTGCGTAGGTGGTGTGTCCTTGCAAACATATCCATACGCCTCTCCCCCCCCCCACTCACACACACACTTTTTTTTTACAAATTTGATGAAAGAGCTTTTTTTTTTCATCATGCATTTGTGTTTAGACTTAATTTGTTCTTTCTTTCCTTCACTAATAGGATCAAAGGTGCGAAAAATTCCTTATGGTTCAGCTAATCCATTCACCTGGATCTTTGGCCTCGTGTCTTGCCCGAACTACACATATGAGTCTTTGGCTTGGATTGGATTCACCATCATGACACAATGTCTGCCAGGTAAGCATTTATGGCCTCTATTTTGTCAACTGTTTTTTTTTTTGGGGGGGGGGGGGGTTCACTTTTTAATTTGTCCACGTATAGTACCTGTGAAGTAATCTGTCTTTTTTTGGCTTGACCTTTCAGGGATATCTGATGTGGTTTATTCCGTCTCTTTTTTTCCTCTCAGAGCGATAGTTCCTTTACCCTTGTATCTGACTCTCACATGACCGTGTGTAGTGGTGATCGCTCCTTTCGTCTTTCAGCCTTCCTTGCTGTCCATTTTCTGCACTTGTGGTTGGTGGGCACTCTGGTGTGATTTGTTCCTTATTCGTCTTTTACATTCGTCATCATCTGTTACTTAGCATTATCCACTCTCTGCAGTTTTCTACCATTAAGCTTAGAGTTTTCTGTTGCTGAGATACATCTTGGTTACAGTGGCATTGAACTCTTGTTAAATATTAAAGTTGCGTTGATTACATACTGTCTTGAGTGTGTGTGTTTCTCTGTTGTAAGCATATTGCCATCCTGGTGGGTGGTCTGGTGTGGTTTGCTTCGTCTTTCCTATCAAACACCTATCGTCCTTATCTCTCCTCCTCCTTTTTTGTGTTTGTTACTCTCTTGTAACACCTCTAATTTTCGGCACTTTTATGACCTTATTGTGTTCCAAGTGCTGTAAAACACTTATTAAAACTAAAACTTAAATCATCAAGGACGAGTAAATTTGCAAGCATGAAGACGGCCTGTTTTGGCGTACTTAAATAAAAGATGCATTGTTTCATTATTCTTACTGATATTCAACTTCGTATTCTTTATCTGAAACTTTAAAAGGCAGGTAACAATAATATGCATACAATAAAGTATTCAAATTCATGTTTCTGGTTTGTGTATGTTGAATTAAAATGTGTTGCAGCATTGCCATTGGTCCTCTGCTGATCGAATATGTCCAGCTACATCCTTAAAGAATTAATTAAGGCATGCCGTTATTCAAATTGCAAGTCTCTGGAACTAGGTGAGGGTTATACTTGTGTTCTAGACTTTTTGGTTATAGAGGTTGTTTGGAGTGATTTTTGAGAATCTTCTTTCTGTTCTGTCAGAGGTCATGTTTTGATTGAGATGATGCAACCCACGTATAGTTTACATAATGTTGAAAGGGGAAATTGAGAAGTTGACTGATGGTAATTTTTAAAAATTGGTTTGTTTTTTTCCAGCTGGACTTTTTTGCTTGGCCGGCAGCTACCAGATGTTGATGTGGGCACGAGGCAAGCACCGCAACTACCTGAGGGAGTTCAAGAACTATCCTCGCTTCAGAAAGTCCATGATCCCTTTCTTGTTGTAGATTTTTGCTACTTTTGACAAATATTTTTCGGTCATGCCACTTTTCTGGATACTTACAGGAGTGTTCTTTCCTGTGTGAACGTCCTGGCTGTATTTTATAGGATGTTATACCAACAAGTCTTTTAGGGTTCAGTTTGATGAATTTCAGAATTCCTTTGATCTCTTGGGGACCCATCAGTGTTATTGTGGCATAATCCTACCATGATTTGCAAGGGATTTTTTTGTATCTTAGACTGCGGTTGAACACTTCGTCTTTGCCTTCATAGTTCAGCTCCATTCATGTATTTTCATGAGCATAGTCTTGTCAAGAGCAGCTGAGTCGAAAAACTGCATAGTAGCAGTTGCTGTGTTCAGGAAGGTTTTAAATTTCTCTTTTATTTTATTTTTGTTTTAAAATTTTTTATGAAGTTATAACAAAAGGAATTAGCATATTATCTTTTCTATATTTTTGCATTTGATACAGACATCTTTGGCAGTGAAACCGTAAGCTAGTGATTCCTTAGTAAATCAAATTGTATAAGGCATTGGTTCTTAAATCAAAGAATGGATGTTTAGCTTTGTTTCACTAAGAGTATTTGTGGACTCGCATAGAGTAAGCAGCCATAGATATTTGGATGACTTTGTCAATTATAGTAAGGGCTGTCAAGTATGTTGAATGGTGATTATGATGAGATATACATCACTAAGTTATAAGACAATGTTGCTATTTATATTTTTGTGTGTAAGGAGAAAGTTGTTATTTGTGTTAACATGTTTTGTTTAATAACTCAAAAGTACTCATTTTACTACTTGCTGTAATCTTTTAGAGCAATTGATGAACATTATGACATGTTTTTTCAGAAGTATTTTTGCTCATCCTTCCATTCTTCAGAGGTCAAACTGATACCTGAGTGAATGTTTGTGCATCTGTTCTAAGTTACTTGAAAAGATTTTTAATACGCTAGGGATTTTAATTTCTCTTTTTCACATCAGATTTCTGTTTTTTTGTTTTTTTCCTTCTTGTGGATGGAGTCGTTGAATGTTTTCATTCCCAGAATAAAGTTTTTCACAAATATTTTTTACAAAATGGGACTTTCTTTGTTTGGTAATGTTAAACTCTGGACTGAATATTGTCAGAAAACAGTATGTGACGTTTTCTTAGATTACTGTTGAAGCCTGGTATGTTTTTGTTTAGAGTTGGGTCGTGCTCGCTAAATCAGCGTCCGCAAGTAACGAACTACTCGCTGGCACTACCCGCAAATGAGCGGACGGGTAACGAACCATCCGCTTGTGAAGAGTAGTTCGCTACTCGCTACACGTCGGACGGAGATAACAGTTCGTTTAGCGAGCGGACGGACGGAGAGCGAGTCCTTCTATTGCATACTACTTACACACCCCCCCTAAAAAAAATATAAAAATTCTCCCTCCTGCCCCACACTGTTACTAGGCGGCGTTCATGGCGGAAATTTATCTACCCCCCCCAAATGCCTTTGAGAATTCTTTAAGCTTCGATTTCCCGACGTAAACAGTGTGCCCACACACTTAGTACTACGTCACCAGCCTCTCTCACTCCCTGTGGTACCGCTAGTGGTTTGAAACATTAGGTCTAATTAACAAACAATAGACGATGGGTCTAATCTCGCGTCGAGTATCTCGTCTGCTAGAGTTCGTCCGTTCGCCCGCCCAATCAGTGAAAAAAATTGTGGAACGGACCTAAGAAACGAACTGGCTTGAGGTCTGCAGTCCGCTCGCTGAGAGAGTCAAATTGTGGAGCGGGCCCAAAAAACGAACTGTCTTGAGGTTCGCAGTTCGCTCTCATGGCCGTTCGTTACCCGCTCGCTCAGACTCAGTCTGCGAGTAACAAACCCGTCCTTCCACTTGCCCCAACTCTATTTTTGTTACTTTTTCGTATACAGTAGTCTGTAGCTGTAGGTTGTTTTTTTTTAGCCTAGCGCTTAATGCTATACCACAGAGGCTATTTCCTTGTTATGAAATAGTTGCATGTTCAAATATCTTTGGTAATTTTTGGTAATATCTTTAGCACTTTCAATGAGTTGACATAATGATCACCACTTTTTAAAAATAAGACAACAGTGTCACGGAAAAGAAGTACCAGCAGTGGAGTCAGACCACATGAGAGCATCCCTACCCCCACGACCCCACAAATGTTGGGAAAGATGAGAAGACAAAAGGAAAAAAGAGATGGTAAACTTTGGTTCAAGATTGTCCCTTTGCTAAACGCCTGTCCAAAGCTGACATGATTGACCACATACCTGTCATCTACTGCCGTAGTTTTATGTGACGAGGACCTATAACAATTTTGAAAAGGTATTCTTTGGCGGGTGCGAAGGGTTGAAAGTTGGCCTTTGTGCAGACAGCTCAATCTGAAAGAAGTCTTAATAATGTTGAGATGTGTAGGTCCACATCAGTATTAAGCACAAAACAGTTGAAAGGGTAAATGATCCAATATATTTTTCCTCCCAAATCATGTTTTGTCTGCATTCCCAAATAGATTCTTAAACCCAGGTGCAATTGATTTTTACATACTGAACCCTCTGATTTGCCAGTATCCCTGGTCATAGAAGTGCTTCATCGTTCAAACAGGATTCATTTACTGATTTTGTTACTTTTTCGTATACATCATTGACACCAGTGCTTTGGTAATCAGTTGAAACAACAAAAAAAGCAAACCTTTTGTAGTTACAAAGCAGGTTTGCTTTTTTTTGTTGTTTCAACTGATTACCAAAGCATTGGTGTCAATGATGTGTACTATGTGCACACAAGACCTCTGAGTTTCTTTTTGTGTGAGAAAACTTGTGATGGATTATGCCACGCTAATACGAGCTTCCTCTGCTACTGAAGCACCGAGTGCCTGAGCTAATTCACAGTTGTAGTAACATGTCATAATAATTTAAATAAGTACACATTTTGACATACAAAGGTCTTTTATCAAGAGAAAACAATCCAAACACAAAAATGTTGGCAATACAAAATGTTTATTGTACAAGTTTCCTAAAATGAAAAGTATCACATCACAGTTGTATAAAACAGTTTCTGTCTTTTGAGTAAGAACTGGCATCACAGGCACAGAATGCTAAAAGGTAAGAAAATAATGTCTCCCAGATTTGGTTCCTGTTCCTCAAACCATTTTGACTCAACTGTTACATTGGTTCTAGTTCAGTTGATGAATATGATTTTTAAAGGTTCTTAACTGTTCACAGTTCACAGTTCACATGCCCATCCTGTTCACACAAAAAATAAGGTCAAGGAACAAAACTCTAAATTCTACTGTGAGCTTCAATGAACTGTTATAGTCTATGAAGTCTCGTATTTACAAACGATTGACTTATACAAACTGACAGCACACACCACTTTCATGCATTTATTCAATGGAAATGATAATGAGAACTTTATCTTCAAGGATGAGGTTTCAGTGACAAGAAGAAAATGTATATAATCACAGCCCTCGGCTTTGGAGGCCTTCGCAATAGGCATCTACAGAATTTACATCGCGCTTTAAATTCAATACAAGTCTATCATACATTAGTTATACTTTCTTTGTCAATGTTACTGTATCATCAACATTGGTGGCTCACCGATAAGTAACTGTGGAAGTCAATTACAATTTTCCCTTTAAAGCTGAGCAGGTTCAACGTACCAGTACCAGTGATGGGGAGGACACAGATGTCGGGTATTCTGTGTCAGATCCGCTTTATTATTTCAAAAAATTCTGGTAAAACAGGTAACTAAAAAGCAAAATGCATCCTGCTAATTTGAGGCTTGAGGTTCTTCCCCCCCCCCCCCTCCTCTCCCTAACAAGAAACGTAATATTGGGCTAAAGACATTTATTATTTTAAAAAAGCTGCTCTCCAACATTAAATCTGATAGGAGGTTCTCTGATATAACCTTAGTATGGTATTACATTGGCACAGAGTTTGTGATTATGAGAGTGAAAACCATAAGCTATAACACATACGGAAGATTTTTTGGAATGTGAAACAGTTCTATTCTTGAAAGATATAGACATGATATATGACAATGGCTGAGTCAAAAGATTCTCATTCAAACAGTAAAATATTAAATACATATATATTCTAAACCATTAGTTCAACAGAATTCCTTGATAATGACACTGTACCAATTCTTTTTTCATGCAAAAAAAAAGGCTATTGAATTTCAGTGTCAGCACTGCACAATTATTTATGGTATCTTTTTATTTTTCGATGAATAAGATTTCAGTACTTCAAAGTAACAGGCACAGAAAGGCATCTTAAATCATGTACATTCACAAGTGACTCGATCAACTGCAAAATTCAACTGATTCATTATCATCAGACATGGTGGAGTCCACTAACAACAACTTCACAAACAAAGAATACCTCTTTCCAATTAAGTAACAGAGTTGTTTCACACTGTCTTTTTATTTTTTTCCTTTTCATTAAAATTCTGAAAAAGATGTTGCTTAGATATGTCATACATTGTTTCTTGTGAGTGTTTGTAACACTTCACAGCAGGTTCATGACCAGTGGGTCTGTTACGTGAATGCTTTTGGGGTGAAACAATGTGGAATGGCAACATTCAGGAGAACAGGACTTGACATTCACACCAGGCAGGTGCCCAGCAGTTACGCTGTGGTATTCACTGGAGGAAGACGTTGGCCTGATGGTGGCCGGGATCCGTGGGCAGTTTCCAGGTCATAGATTTCATCTCTCAAACGCTTCAGTTCCATCTGGTGAAATGAGATTACAGTAATGATTAATACAAATAATAATTGCATTTTTATAGCATTTGGGTAGTTTAGCTTTTATAAGAGCATTCGAGCAAAGGAATGAAATTTGAATGGAGAACCCTGATCGCCGATGTCTGTTGCAGATATGGCACTCGATGATGATAATAACACATATCCATGCTTTACAGTGTCAGTATGCTCTGTGCTCTTTACAACTACATTGTATTATTATACTCAGAAACATTCTGGGCTTCCTGGGAATTGTACATTGTTTGGAGTAAATTCATGCTTGGTACATTCTGTTTGCCTTATCTGCCGACCTAGTTTTAGTTTTACTAAGAGTTTTACGGCACTTGCAACACAATAAGCCGATCTAAGAATGCACCAAAACATTGACTGAGTTGTTTGCAGTGACTGATCAGCTCTTCATGCATTGCATTTGCATGTCTGAGAGATTAGTTTGAGTAAAGTAAAGAAAATCACATTGACTCACGATAAAGGTCATCTAGTGCTGGAAAAGAGCAAGAAAGACCAGCAAAAAATACAGGGAAAATTTAAAAGTAAGACTTGGGAGTGATACCCTACAACCACATGTGTCTCTACATGATACAAAACTGCTTCTCATCAGTCTGGGGGCCGCAAATAGTAAAAAGGGAAAGAGATGATGACTTCAGATGATTGTTTGCCCACACAGCGACAACAATTGCTGACACATTGGAGTAAAGAGAATCCGTCTGCATTTAGCAGAGCAAGCATCAAAATAAATATGATTTATAAAAACATTTTATTAGATCAATTCTATGTTTGTAACATCACCGGACTCCAGCCTCTCTAAAAAAAAATCTCACAAAGAACTGAAAATTCTCAGACCTAAATAACCCTAAATGCCTCTTTTACCCCCCTTTCCATTAAAGTTATGAAAATCAGCCTCACTTGAAACTAAAATGAATGCCATATGCGAGGCAGTGTTTTTAATTAAGATATTGTCATAAGAGACAAGAGTCAATGCACATAGCAATATCAGTAGCTAACACACACATTAGAATATCTAGTGCACATACAAAAATTACTACGTTTTCAGTTCTGAAAAGTTTTGTTCAACCAATCCTATGTCAATAGCATCAGCCTGATACGATTACGAAAAAGAAAAGCTGAAACCAAGAGAGAAGCCCGCAAACTGTGCACATCAACAAGTGGAAGTGGAGCCTTTAAATGTTCAAAATGTGGCAAACTTTTCTGTGCCAGAATTGGTCTCATTGGCCCCAGTAGAAACCACAAGTCATCGTAACCTTTAATTCTTCAAATTCTTCAATTCCATTGGAGAAATATTTTCCTCTGCTGATGTACTGGCCATCATCAGACATTGACAGACAAACTATTATTATTATTATTATCATTATCCATACCTGAAAATATTACAGACTACAGAAAGTACATCAACATGGTCCACACTGTCCTGTGGCAAAATGAAAGGAATACATTTTCAGACACCCCACCCCCAAGTCTCTTTTCTCTCATTTCACTAAAATTATGATGTTGAAAATTGCCCTCATTTAAACCAAAATGGAAATCTGATGCTTGTCGGCATCTTCAAGACCTCAACACTGACCTGTTGCATCTCGATGACCTTCTTATGCTCCTCCAGCTCCTTCTCCACCAGAGGACCAGCAGGCTTCGGCGGTAGCTGGACGGAAAAGCCGCTCTTCTTGGAGCGAGCATCCAGCCCCATGGCAGCCTCCATGTCGTGGATGAGAACTCTGCACAGCTTGAGCTCCTTGCGCAGATCGTTGATCTCCTTGATCAGAGTGACGTTTTCCTGTAGATGTATGAAGACAATGTAGATGTGTGACTAGTGTTAGGACAAACAGGATGTATGAGGTCAATTTAGTTTTCGTAATGTTTTACAGCGCTCGTAACTGCATAGGTCATATGAGTGCCAAGGGGTGGATGTCAACAGAGAAGTCCAAATGGGGAATCAGGCTTACTCTGCTCACCTTTCTAGCCTCAACAAAACAAAGTCTGCTTCAGCTATCGAGGCACCCCGTAAATAGCAGTTCACAAGAAAGTGACAAATATATAATATAAATGAAGGAGAGGAAAAATGACGATAGTCAGGATGAGGAAAGAAAAAGCAGCAGTTCCCCCTATGTTGTTCCAGCACAGTATGAGCATGACATTGATAAATCAGTCCATTTACAATTCTACTGTGCATAAGAACATGTTAATATCCTCTCTTAATGGCCTAAAGAAAACTTTAGTCAGTAGCACTGCCCTGGTGGGGGGTATGAGGACAATGTAGATGTTTGAGGACAAAATAGATGAATTATAAAAATCTTAGGGGACGAGTGAGAATTTAATGGTAGGAAAAGAAATCATATGAGGTACATGTAGTACTGAAAGATCCCAGGGCAAAACACTTCTTTATAAAAACAATTAGGAAAGAGACTGGGATACTTGACCTTGAATCAAAATAAAGGCTCTCATGAAAGTTTAGCTCTCTCTGGCAAAATAGAAGGCAAAAGAGGAAGAGGGAGACTAAGAATAACTTATTTAGAGAATATAAACAGATGGGAGAAAATAAAAGACCAAGATAATAAACATTTTTTAGAGCATTCGAGCTGAGAATGGTGTGGTGAACCACGATTGCCAATGTCTGTATCAGATCTGGCACATGAAAAGCTCTCTTTTTGATCTCCGTCGCCGGCAAGTCAAGACAAAAAACCAGCACAAAACTCCTTCAGGAGGCTCACTTCGCCGATGACTGCTCCTTGAATGCTCACTCTGAAGCTGACCTGCAAACAATGATCAATCACTTTGCAGAAACCTCAAAGCTTTTTGGACTTACAATAAGCATAGGGAAAACTGAAGGTCTTTACCAGCCTGCCCCACAAACTAACTCACTGTCTCCAAACATCACTATCAATGGCAGCAGCCTGAAGAACACCAAGAACTTTAAGTACTTTAGAAGTATTATCTCTGCAAACGGCTCCATCAAAAAGGAAATTGATTCACAAATCACCACAGCCAGCCAAGCTCTCAGTAGACGGAAAAACAAGGTACTAAAACAGCACGATGTCCGGCTGTCAACAAACATCAAAATGTACAAAGCCGTTGTGCTCTCCTCCCTCCTCTACGGCTCGGAGACCTGGACACTCTACAGGAAGCTCATCAAGACATTAGAGCAGTTCCACCAAGGGCTCTCTGCAGCATACTTGGCATCTGGTGGCAAGATCGCATCCCCAACATTGAGGTCCTCAACCGATCAAGCTCACAAAGCATAGTAAGCATGCTTGTCAAAGCCCGACTGAGATGGGTCCGCCATGTCATCCGCATGGAAGACCACCGAATACCCAAACAATTGCTGTATGGCGAACTTGCCTGTGGCAAAAGAAATCAAGAGGCCAAAAAAGCGGTTCAAAGACACGATAAAGGAAGACTTCCGGTTTGCACAGGTTACTCCCAAAGAACTCGAAAGAACTGCTACCGAAAGGAATGCCTGGCCCAGGGCCGTCTGTCTTGCCAGCAGAAACAGCGAAACCAACGACAGGGAGAGGCTGACTATCAGAAGACACAGGAGACGTAATCTGACCACCCCAACCAAGACATAGTGTCCCCACTGCAACAGACATTGTACATCCAGGATCGGATTGCACAGCCACATGCGCGTCCACAGATGAGCTGCAGGAAAAAAATATATATTATTACAAAGGCAGACAGAGGAAACAAGCCTCTGGGAAAATATGTGTAACATACCTGCATAATTCTGACATTGTCAGCTTTGTGGATCTCAGAGTCTTTCTCCAGTTTCTTCCTAAGACTAGCCACAGACCTCTCAAGATGCTCCTTCTGGCGGCTGAATTCTTTCTGGATGTCTGCGTCAACGCTGGCAGACTCAGTCTGAAATGTGGAAGCACAAGCTAGATCAGGGTATTGACTCAAAAAACATAGCTAGTCTTTTGGAAAGCGATACTTCATTTCTTAACAAGGAACTAATTGTGTCAGTTGCTCATTACTGCTATACACAAATTTACCATGATTTGTCAAACTTTTTCATTCAAACAACTTATCCCATTTATTTTTTAAAAATGTCTTAGTTTCTTTTATCATTTAAATTGTTTTTATATTTAAAAAAAAATTTTTTTTGGGGGGGGGATACTTTAAGCTTTGACTCTGACTTTATGTGCTGATGTTTAATATATTTTTTCTTAGCATGACATCGGAAAGACAGAAGGCAAAAAACATCAACAGACTAAAAACAGGCGATTCAGCATAAGACAAGAATTGAAACTCTAAAGAACAGTATCTAAACCATAAGTGAACAAACAGGAGGCAACAAATTTGAAAAAAACCCATCAAAACAAAATTAAGTCATCCAAAAAAAAACATTAAAAAAACCACACACAGAATAAAAACTAAGACAAAATAGAAATGGCAACTGGAACAGATCGATGCCAATCCTTTTCATTACAGTTTGTTTCTCTTCCACTTACTTTCTGAAACAACAGCAAAGCAAAAGCATTACGGTACTCAATTATTTGAACCAGCAAAAACATGTGCAATATTTCTGATTAAAATTTGTACTAACACTAACACAGTGTGGATAAACTACCCCCCCCCCCCCCCCCCAAAAAAAAAAAAAAAAAAGATTTCACGGCATTTTGCCCTCTCAGTGCGGTTAGCTTTAGCTGCCGTCTCATAAATGTTATCTTTTGATATGAAATGTGAGATCATGAGCATATACTCATCTGCTGATGAAAATCTATGATGGCATTCAAATGCCATCTTGAGGGAAAATAATGCAATCTTGTACTTCGATAATGTTTTGAGTCACTATTGATGGAACTTTTTTTTTTTTTTTAAGTAGAGAGTTTTACGGCGCTCGCAACTGCATAAGGTCATATGAGCGCCAAGGGGTGGGTGTCAACAGAGAAGTCCTTACAGGGAATCAGGCTTACTCTGCTCACCTCTCTAGCTTCAACAGCACAAAGTCTGCTTCGACTATCAAGGCACCCCGGAAATAGCGGGTCACAAGAGTGTGACAAACATACAAAAGAAGAAGAGGAAGAATGACAATAGTAAGGATTAGGAAACAAAAAGCAGCAGTTCCCTGTTGCAGATCAGGCACAGTTATGAGCGTGACATGATGAATCACCTTATTTACAATTCTACTGTGCTTGAACGAGAAATGTCCCCCCTTTGGGAATGGCCTAAAGACACTACAGTCAGTGGCACTTCCCCGGGGGTTGTTTGAACTTTATAAACAATTCTTGTAAATATTATGTTGAAGAGAGAGGGGGAGGGGGAGAAGAGAGAGAACGGGAGAGAGAGAGAGAGGGGGGGAGAAAAAAAAAGAGAGACAGACAGACAGACAAACAGATAGACAGACAGACAGACAGACAGACACACACACACACTCACACTCACACACACACACACACACTCGCAGGCAAAGGAAGAGAGAGACAAAAGTAGAGAGAAAAGGGAAAAATTATTCGTGTTCATCCACAAAAGCTCGAGGATATCTTTCAGATTCTAGGAGAATTGATCTTTAAGTCTCCATCAGCCCCCACTACTCACAATGTCTTCTTGCACGTGTTTCTGGTACAAGGCTTTGATACTCTCCTTGAGCATCTTGGGGTCCTGGATGTACCCTACGCAGTTGTGAAGATCAGTCTTGAATCTCTTGACTGTGGCCTCCACATCACGCACCTACATACACAAGACAAGCTGTTAACATCTACATGACCAAGCTGAGCAATTGACAGAGGTGTCCATTTTCAGAGTAAATCTGGAAATCCGGATTTCAGGAATTGTTTGGATTTTGTAATACACTCCTGTTTTTTGTAATAGACTCCAGTTTATACATCGCTATTCATATCTTAAGTTCTTTTTGCATCTCATATTGCGCTTTATATAAAATAGTTTTGATACAAGTACAAGATGCATTAGACAATTTGATCCGTAAATTTGGACACCTGCACGCACTTTTCCATACGGCCCAAAAAGTAAAGGATTTTATTTCCACAGCCAGTAGGCACCTCTGCAGTTAAAACTCTTGCTGACCCTCAAGGATCTAAAAGATCAGGTGTTGTGTTCAGTATCCATTGAGTTTCCTCTTCAAATGACATAACCAGATATTTTACGCGGCTGCAAGACAAATGAGTAACTGTATTTGACGCCAATCTAAAGGGAGAGTGAAAACTATTGAGTTGCTTCTTTTTCTAGCAACAGCTACACATTAATCAAAACTGTTTATATCTATAGCTCTAATTAATATACTACTATATATTCAGGCCTCACCTTAAGCATATTATTTGATGAGGCATATGTGATTAATTTACCCGATATTCAGTTGCTTTTTAAAATATAAGGCTAGTCTTGTCATTAGCGTGTTACATTCCAAAGACTCTGAATACAGTCCTTCTCCTAGTTAGAAAACATTTTTAACCATTCATAGCTTTCATTTATAGTCCTGTCATATGATTTGATGTTACTGGATATTTTCAAATATACCAGTTACAGTGACTGAAGCACACAAACAACCATCGGCTTACCCTCTGTCTCTCTTGATGCATTTCTTTGTCTGTTGCCTTGAGTTTCTGACGTAGTTCAGTAATATTGAGCTCGAGCTGAGTGTTTTGCTTGTGAAACCTCTCCAACTCGCTCTCCATCTGAAACAGGAACATAAACACTTTTACGTGAAGTCACCTACTTTGCTCCTTCTTTCTTATCAAACATCTATCATAATATCCTTATCTCTCTCCTCTTTTTTTTGTGTTTGTTATTCTTTTGTAGACCTCTAATCTCCAGAACTATATGTGAGGCAGCGTGGTTGAATCAGGCTCTCGTCAAAATAATGAAATCGAAGAAAACAGCAGTTTTCTCCCTGCTTAGCACTTTTTATCAAATTTTTGTTTTTTGGCTGAACACCTTTTATGTCTATTTACAAACACATTCCTTTGAGGATTTCACCGAAATCATTGATTAAAGGCACAAAAAAATAAATTTACAGTTTCCATGGTCTCTCCAGCTTTGGAATTTACCAAGCTTTTGCGGCCATTTTCTCGCTAATTTTACCTCTTAAATCAGATGATCCCCACCTGCTTCAATCCAAAATATTGAAGATGGATGGGTAATTTTTTCATTGAAAGCAAGACAAATGAACAAGCTTTAAGATGATACCAATAACTCAATATGCACAAAAATTGACGAGAGTCTGATTCCACCGCGCTGTCTCACATATGGCATAATTGTGTTGCAAAAGCTGTAAAACTTTTACTAAAAAAACCAAATAAGATTTATGACGTCATGCAAGCCACAAGCCTTCAAGACAATACGACTATGTTCACATGAAGAAGATCAGTAGACCAGAGGTAAAACTTACAAACATCATGCCAAACATTTTACAAGGTAGACATATTCATTTCACAAGAAAGTTTGTTATGTAGCATATTTATTGTACAATGATGAAGAAGTGATGTTGACAGCATAATGCATCATTAGTCACTACAAACTGTTTATTCATGATGAGCATTTTCATACAAGACTTAACATGTTTATTTTGGTGGCATATAGGTAACATGATTGCTTCAGTGTTTGAACTCCTACCTCCTGAATCTGCTCCTTCATGTTCTTGATGTCCATCTCCCGAGGCTCAATCTGCTTCTTCAGCTCCTTGATCTTGTAGTCCAAGACAAACTTGAACTTCTCAAGTTCCTGGTTCTTCTTCTTCAAGTCGTAGATACGTTTTTCCTAAACACGAAAAGGGGTACTAGTTTAAATCATGATTCAAATCATTCATAACATAGAGTAAATAATCACATATCACTCTTATGTGATGATATATATTCAACATTTGGTGTGCCATGGCTTCAATTAATTATTCATAGAATACTAGTTCCTCAGAGCAGTAAAATTCCATTCCATAAAGCAAATCTTACAATATTTATGAAGAGCAATGATTCGGAATGCACGATATTTTTAAAATTTAAACTTTTATTTCCACCATGCCTGTTCACACTGCACAAGAATAACTATAATGCCTACGGCAAGACTATGATAAAAGCACCATAGAACAATAGCATTTAAATTCAGAACTAGAATCCACAAACTGCTCACCTTATCCTGAATGGTATCGTCTCTCTCCTGGATTTCCTTCTTTAGACCCTGGATATCCTTCTCCAAGCTGCGGATCACGTTGTTCAGTTTGCTGTTCTCAGCGTTCAGCTTCTTGATCTCCTCCTTGTGATCATCAATCTCTTTCTGTAAGCTTGTGAACTGTGGGGGAAGACATCAGATTGTTTATGCAAGACACAAAGAAACACATCAATGTAATAACGACCAGGTACTTCTGAAAAGACTCTCAATACATTATTATATACATTACTATATCTCATACATCAGAATCCAAGAGACAAGAGCAGCATTCATCATCCTCAGGAATATATGGATGTCTAAGGAACTGGGATTGAACACCAAGCTGAGGATCTTCAAAACAAATGTGAAGACTGTTCTACTGTATGGAGACATGGAGACCCACAGCATAAGCAGCAAGGAAACTGCAGAGCTTCATAAATGGATGTCTAAGAAGGATAGTGGGGATCAAGTGGTACGATCGAGTCACAAATGCTCAACTGTGGGAAAGAACAAGCCAGTAAAGGAAGACATACAGATGAAGGAATAGAAATGGATTGGACACACCCTGAGGAGACACCCAACAAGCATCATCAGACAAGCTTTGACATGGAATCCGCAAGGAAAACGTAAGAAAGGAAGACCAAAGATGACATGGAGTCGAGCGGTACAAGTGGAAAATGGAAAAGGCGGGGACATAATGGAAACAGCTATAAAAGGATGCACAGGACAGGCTGGAGAAATGTTGTTGATGGCCTATGCTCCACCGGGAGTTTAAAAGGGCAAGAGAGAGATATCTCATTCAATATTATATAAAAAACTCAGAAAAAAAAATAATCGCTGACATACCAGCAGCACTTTCTGTCCTCCCAGTATATCGTAAGACAAAACAAAAACTTTAATCATTATGATGATGTCACTACTTACTATTACGATTTAAAAATCGATTGTTCACATTTGCACTTAAACAAAGTTGTTTTTGGTTATATAACGTAGCAGAGAGAAGAAAAATATACAACTAGTAAACTAGCTTAAGATGTTTTTCACACTACCATTGTCCTATCTTTTGACAAAACCTGAAGACTCTGAAAGAAAAATGTCAAGGCATCAGACCTAAACAAATACAAAGACATATTATGCCTCTGAAATAATACACTTACCATTGTGAAAAAACCTAGGACAGAAACATGAATAAACAACAGGATATAAAAACTCCTCACCTTCTTCTTCATGATGCCAGTCTCTCCCTTGAGCCTCATGTTGGCCTCCTTCTCATCTCTCAGTCTCCTCTCGTACTGGTGCTTGATGTCCAGAATCTCTCGGTCAGAATCTTCCTCAATCTGCTTCTTGGTCTCCTCGTACTCTCTGCTCTGCTGGCGAGCCTCGTCGTTGCTCTGTGGAGTTATCAAGACAGACCTTACTGGTGTGATTTACTATAGGGGAAGAAATATATTTGATGCATTGATGGGAATATCCAATGAACATGCCTTCTATAGAAAGTGGACAGTAATAATTTTTCAGCTGCCCTTCATTTCTAGTCATGTAAGGGCACAAGCTGACTTTTCTGTAGGTCCAGATACTGTGACTAATCCGACAGCTGCTGAGCTGGTGCTCAGAACAAGGACTCTGTAAAATCAATTTGTGAGCAAAATTTGCTAATAACATGTAGAGCCAAATATTCAAAAGTAAATCACTTGAAAAGCCTTAGCCTGTACCTTGACAGGAAAAATAAACATAGTCCAAGGTGCATACACACATGTGCAGTAGTAAGTTAGTTAAACCTACTCAACTCATTAAAAAATAAATATTTGAGCGAAAAGGAAAAGACAATAATATCATCTGTTTATTATTCTCGTAACAGCCACTGACCTGTTCCAACTTGGTGGTCATCTCCTGTAGCTTGGTCTCGTAGTACTCAGTGAGCTCCTCCAGGGCTCTCTCCTTGCTCTCCTCCATCTCCTGCAGCTGGCGGTCGTAGTCCTCCTGCATCTTCATCATCTTGGCCTGTTGCTCCTGGAACTTCTCATACTCAAGCATCAGCTTCTGGTTGTTAGCAGACTCTGCAGGAAGGGAGGGTGAGGAGGGTTGGGGGGGGGGGGGGGGTTACCACATGAAGGTGGAGGCGGCACGCAGGATACAGACGGTATGGAGAGGGGGGGAAGGTGTCAGTTTGTTTGTTAAAGACCCATGCTAAGCAATATTCTGAAAGTTAAAAAGCTAAGGTCCATATTATTATTCATTGTCCTGTACCCCCTTAAAGAGAAGTTGCACTTCACACTAACTGTCTCGGTGAGCCACATCACTGTATTTCTCTTTTTAAGTCCCACAGGAGACAAGGAGCATCACAGCCTTTAAGGCTTAAATCATAATCATTTCAATATTGGAAATAAAGTGACTAAACAATGTATAGTGATTGAACTTCATTGGATAGGAGGAAACAATATCAGAGGAGGATGAAGACAGTAGAATAAAGACGTCTCTTACATGCAGGATACAAATCTAACGGACAAATCTTAATGAGGTAATTTCTCTCAGTTCTGTCTATTACCCCTTCCCCTGATCCCTTTCTGCCAAAAGATACTCCCCCTAAATCTTTTTCTTCATTCATCCTCTCCTTACTATTCTAGAGACAGTAGTTGTAAGGGATAAAGAGAAACATACCAATGGCCAAAAAGTGGTCTTTTAATGCAAGGTAAAATCAAATTGCCAGTCTGAAGTAACAGATGAACAGGAGGAAAACAAGCCCACCAGCAGAATCCATAAACCGACCAAGCTGTGCACATACCTAAGTCCTGGAGTTCCTTGGCATGCTTGTCCATCAGCTCTGCCATCTCCTCCTCGTGCTTAGACTCTTCCTTGTCCTTGTCTGTTTTCAAAACCTTGAAAAATCACATTGAAATTATATTTATTAGAAAAAATTTAGATAATTCTGTCACTTACTAAGGCTTTAGACTGCTAAATCTAGTTACTAGTTTATTCTCTTTCTGTGAAAATGAACAAGTAGAACAAAATACAACTCATCTTTACAAATAATTAACAAGTTGAGAGCATTGATCAATAAAATATTATTTCACATTGTCAACTTGAGATTGCTTGAATCATTGCAACTGCATTGCGCTGAAACATTTTGTTTTTAATTACTCACACGGAAGTAACTAGCACTGTTAAAACAATTACTTCATCTTGAAAAACTGCTGACACTGAACACATTTGTGATATTTCTATTTTGCTCTATATAAGAAAAGAACTAAATGATATCTTTATAAACTTAACCTGCAATTTGATTCTGATAAGAGTTGAACACATTTTCTTATATACTTTTGTATTTTCTCGACATGACCACAGTTTCAAATGCATACTTGATTTTTAGTTTTGAGGGATTCCATCTCCTGGATGAACTTTTCAGTAAGTTCCTTCATTTTCTCATTGTAGGTCATGTCCTTGAGACGCAGCTGGTACTCGTTCTCCATCTTCAATTCTTCCACTCGAGAGTTCAAGTCAGACACAGTGGAGTTCTGGAGAAGCACACAAGTCAAAAATCAATTTCAGAATTTCAGCGTAAGCATAGATCTAAATTTTCAAAAGACTAGTCAATGTATTAAAATTTAACTGAAAACAACCATATGGCCAGTGTAAAGACAGTCTTTTTAGGACATATTTCAAGAGAAGGCTCAGAGTAAAATGGTTAACGAGCACATGTTCATAAGGAATGTTCAACAATGCCATATGGTGACCACTTTTAGATGGCTGGTCACTTGGATGAGTCCTTGAGCGAAACATTATGCTGATCTTTAATTTAAAAGAACAAGGTGATGCAATACCATGATCAACATTGAAAATCCCTGGCAGAAACCACAAAGTAGTTTTGTCTTGTGCCAGAGGCAAAAAGTAATGCCATAGTTTACCTGTAAAGACATCTCTGTGCTAAACCTCAAAGAACAGTTTATCAGATGTACACACCGCTGGTTTTTCATCTAAAAAAGAAGGGGGGAGCGCATTCTGCAGAAATTTTCTAAAAGTTTGAAAGTTCTCATAAAAAAGGAATCCAAACTGAAGTGTCTGACACTGAGACAACACAACTTGCCTTCTCTTCCAAGTCGCTTTTAGTGATGAGGATCTCCTCTGCCCAGCCGACCTCCTTGTCTCTCTTCAAGCCACGACCTTCCTTGTCCTGGATCTTCCACAGGATGATTGACGCGTCCTCTGCTATACTCACCAGAAACTGGTCATCGTATGTGATTTTCATCTGACCACAGAACAACAAAATAATATCAAGGACCATTCTATCTTTTTTTTACAGACCACTCTAATGTATCTTATCAACTTCTATATCAAAATGATTTGCTAATGAGAACACAATATTTAAGAATTATGAAATATTTTTGCATTTCGATGTTTTTAAATTTGTTCAGCTGAAAACTAGGTTTCATGGATGTATTTCTACAGGAAGAGACTGAAACAGCAAGTAACTTCAATGTTTTTCACTCATCCTATCAAGTAGAGTCAAACTGAGTCTCTCATTTGTCCTTGTGACAGTGACAATATTCTTCACCTTATTTCTTTTCAGAAAGAGCAGCGATGTAAATAAAGTATTTGGTCCAGTTAAAAATTTAAAAGCAGAATCACTAGTATTTTGGCCTCATCCACATTCATATCATCAGTTTAGTGCATAGTTATCTCTGAATATGAGAGAGTGACTGCAAATTGGCCAATCTGTTGCCAAACATGATTTTGATCCTCAATTTTTGAGCAAGTTGGCAAGATTTTAAGGTGTTCAACCCTGTCCTATCAGACATGAGTGATCTCATTGAGGCTACACTTCTCCATAACCCAAAATTCAAATGAAAGGTGGATTATAACTCAAAATCAAACATAAATGCAGCACAAATTTGCTTAGAATGATGGTAAAATACAAATTGTTGAGTAGTTCTTTGTCATACCTTGACAATAGGAGCCCCATGACCTTGTAGTTCTGTCCAGTCCCCGGGCACTGCTAGGGGATACTTCAGTGACCATAGGGTGCCTTTCACGGTACCAGCGAACAGCATACGGCCTGAGTGTGACAGGGCCACAGACGTCAAGGTCATGTCACCGGCCGACACCTCTCGCAGGATCTGAAACGAAAGGCGATGACTCGGATGAGAATAGATCTTGTCAAATACTACAACTGATATGGCAATGCTAATGTCTAACAAGAAAAGTTTTCCCATGGATCTGTTATATAGGACTTGAAATAACACTTGTAGTACAACTCTTTTCAAGACACCATGTCAAGTGTCTTGTGTCAATATTTCAAACAAAGAAAATCTTTTACTTATCTTCTTTCACAAATATCAAGGGTTAACCTACATGCAAACTTCATATAACTTTTCATTCAATGTAATCAGGGATCTAAAGGATTTTTTCTGTCACAGAAACACTATTTTCTCTTATATTTCGGAAGAAGCAAGTACAACTCATTGAAAGTACAAAAGCTGCAGTAACCTGTGAATCAGCAATTTCTTTCAAAGTCTTGTCAGAGCCCGCGGCAAAGGTTGTCTTTCCGTCGGGAGTGACAGTGACTCCCGTGTAGCTGCATGACTTGAGCACACTCTCACTGGTCCTCTTCCCGGTGGATGTGTCCCACTCATACACAGCGCCATCCATACCACATGAGATAAGCTTGCTGTCATCAGCACTCCACACAACCGATCGCACTTTTCTGTAATGAGCATTTAAAAAATGGAGGTTCAGAAAAGAGAGCGATAGGTAAAATACCTATTGTACTGGCTTTTTATTCTGTGATTATAATCACTTACTATGCTTCAACTGACTTATTTCTCAAATATCAAATAATTATTTCCCAGAACACCCCATGATGTGAAGTACTAATCTTTTCAGGAGGACAGTTAGCATAACACATTTTTAAGACATAATCACAGTAGACCAGCAGCAGCATAATTTCAGAGCAATACCCTTTGAATGAAAAAAAAAAGAAGCTTAATACCCCTTTCATATTATGCTAAAAACTTCAGACATAAAATTAAGGCAAAAGTATTAGAATATACTACTTCATAAAACTCAAAGTCTTATCCAAGGAAAGACGAAACTAAAATCTCATGCTTACAGAACAATTTTGTTGAGCAATTGCAATTTAATCAGGGTTGGATGAAAAAAAAGAAACAAACCCATTACAAAAGCAACGTCCTGCACATAAAAATCTACAGGAAAGAGAAGAGAGAACTGACTGACCCATTGTGACCCTTGAGGTTGTTGATGTTCTCAAATGTTGTGGTAGAGTACAACTGGATTACGTTTCCCATCACAGATGCAAACATATGACCGCCATTGCTGAATGAACACTGAAGAAAGGGGAAAGAAAAAAAAAAGAAAACGGCACGATTGAATACATGCTGCCTGGTGGACTTTAAATCATGATTTTAGAAACACGAATGACAAACATGGAAACATGCAATATATGTTGAATCCAAGTCTTTTGACAAAAAAGTGCATAGTTCACTTCTGAGTACAAAACGCCTTAAGACAATTAGTAATTCTACAAGCTTGAAGTATTTCCTTGAATGCCTCTATATATATCATTTGAACCTTGATTAAACACATAGCAGATTTTCCAAAGCTTATCAACTGATACAAACTATACATCTTTCATACTTTGTTTTAGTTTAAGAGGAAATAATGAAACACTGGAGCTAATGAAGGAGGCACAAAAAGGAAATGACATGAAGGAAGACAGCTAAAAAATATCAGAATTCAAAATCTCACTGCAACAAAATGGCAAAAATTTGAGCAGATCTTCCATTACCTCCCTGCATCCACGCACTGTAAATTCTTTGAAAGTGCGGATGTCGTCAATGAGCAAATTCATCAGTCTCAGCTTGTCACTAAAGCCCACCAGTATGTAGAGGCCTGACGGGTGCAGGGCAATGCTGTACGCTTCCTCAGCAAACACTTTGTACAGCTCCAGGTTGCTGAAACATATTGAAAAAAACCCAACTCAGATCTTCTTAACATCTGGAAGAGGATTTTTTTTTTACATGGGCTTGACAGTTCTGCAAAACACAGGCACACGTTATTTTAATTCATTGCAAAAGAAAAATCTTTAATGAAGAACCAGAATACTTTTCTTCAGGACCTTGAGCCTTTTTCATTTTTGTCTCATTCATAACCAACAGCTATCTTTCTTATTCTTTCAGCATACAGGTAACATCACATTCTTTTATTACCTGTATTACCTGTCCTGGGCAACAATGTCATTGCACACCGGACAGGTTCATAAGTGCTCAGTTCCCCCCAGCACCAAAGCCCGCAAGGTATCCATACTGATTGTCACATTCTTTTATTTGCAATAAGAATGCTTCGGTAGCTCACAATCCATACTACTGTTAAACCACATCGTATTAGGCAGTTCAAAGGAAAGGATGAAATCAGAAAGTCATTAACAAATATCAAACACTTTTTAAAAAATACCATGACAGCAAAGGATAAACTAACGTCCTTGCACTTCAGCTCTTTCTGTAAAAGGCAACAAGACTTGTTATAATCATGAATGCAGTCAAATTGTGTATATGAAGTTATCAAATTAAGGGCTAAGGAAAATTAGATCAAGTCTTACCAGGTTTCGTAGTTCCACACGCGGACAGATCTGTCAAGTGAACAAGTGGCAATCAGAGGTTTCCGGATACAAACATCTAAACCTGTGATTGGTGCATTATGAAACACTTGCGACAGGACCTCAAACTGTGCTTGATCGCCCTGGAGAAAAAGAAAAATCATACCACAAGAGACGTCAATATTAGTTCTTTGCTACTATGCTTTATATAGGTAAAACTTTGGAAATTATTGTTATTCATAGAGCTACAAAAAGTCAATTTGTGCGAAATAGCTTGTAGGAAATGCTGAAAACAACCCATTAAGCAGTCCATCTGCCCCAGTTCGTATGTGACCACCTGGAAATATGGAATATATATAAATATTCACAGGGGCAATGAACAATAAATCCTACACAGCACTGAAAGGAACAATGAATTAGTTTATGAGAAAAAGAAATTAAGACTGACTTACCTTGCTGAGGTCGGCGCTGGACAGTGTAAGATAATAGAGCTGAGCCTGATCAGTGCTGGCCACCAGAGTCTCCTCCGAGGGACTGACAGTCAAGCAGTTGATGAACTGCTGCTGGGACAGGGTTGGGTCCTGGCTGTTGCAGCTGTCTGGAGGAATCTGTAAATAGAAACAGAAAAACAGATTGATGAACATAAAGTGTTAGACTTTTCCACGGATATGATAATCATAATTATAAGAAACATGCTCATTTCAAGTTTAAAACGGTAAATGTTGCTTGTTTGTCATATCAAAATCACTTTCATAGTTTTCACACTTTCACAGAGAGACTAGTCTATGAAAGAATATACTTTTGTAAATGAAAGTAACTGGAGAGAAAGAAAGCATTTTCAGAGTCAATAAAAGTTAAAAGGTGAGAAATACGAGGGGAGTGCAAGAAGTCTTGGATCTAAATATGAAGGAATAAAGCAAGAGCTTTGTAACTCGGCACACATACTTTCATTTCTCTACATTGTCACCATGCAGAGTAACACATTTCTGCCACCTCTCTTTGACCTTCAAAAGTCCTTGAGAAAAAAATGACTTAGAATGGGCCCCTAACCAGTCTTCCACAACTTCAATGGCATCCTTGTTGTTACGGAAACGACGTCCTTTCAGTGATTTTTTAAAGATTAGGAAACAGAAAAAAGCAAGAAGAGGTTAGGTCAGGTGAATAAGCTGGGTGTGGCAGGATTTCAAAGTCACACTGTTCTGCTGTCTGAACTGTTTGTTGTGCCCTGTGCACAGAGACCTTGTCACACAGTAGGACGACCCCATTACGGAGTTTTCCACGCTTTCTTCCCTCCAGATGGCACCGCAGTCTTATCAAAAAACCCTGAGATTGTTTTTTCCATTTTCCAGGTAGTCAGTCATGACGATACCTTCACAATCCCAGAAACACGACAGCATGACCTTTCCACTTGACAGTGTTACCTTTGCCTTCTTTGGTGAGGGAGAAGACGGGGTTTTCCATTGCATGGAGGACATTTTTATTGTGGATCAAAATGATAAATCCATGTTTCACCTATAATCACCAGGTTTTTAAAGAAATTTGTGTCATTGGACTCAATTCGCAGGAGAGTTTTGCAGGACTCAACCCTCCATTTCTTTTGCTCACTTGCCAAAAGGCGGGGTACCCACCGCACAGACACCTTGCTCATGTTAAGATGTTCATGGAGAACCATTTCAATTGATCCTACACTGATTCCCGTTTCAATTGAGAGCTGTTTAACAGTTATACGTCCGTCTTGTAAAACCAGTTTCTTCACTATATAGATACATTCTCTTCAGTTACCACAAATGATGGGCGCCCTTCATGATCTTCATCCATCACCGACATGAATCCAGATTTGAATTTTCCAGTATGTCACAGTATAATAACGAGGACATTTGTCACCATAAACTTGGACCATTTCCTGAAAAATGTCCGAAGGGTATTTTCCTTGTAAGTGTAAAAACTTTATAACTGAGCGATATTCAACAGGCTCTATGCACTGCTATAGCAATGTAAAGTTACCTGGCGGTCCGATGCGTTGGGTCTGTCAGGGGGCCCCCGTCCAAGATAGGTGTTGTCTCGTCGTGGTCCTGAGTTCGACTGACTACCTCCGTGAGTCTCTCAGACGATCTCTCTATTTTTCGCACCAAGCTCTTGACGTCATCCAAGGGCGTGCTACTCCCCTAATTATCTAGTTCCCACAGTAAAGATAAGAGTCATGTCCCTTGACATCACATAGCAAAGAAAAACCAAACGGTTTTGTGCATGGTTTCATCGAACTCGCTGACTAGTGCCTTATTATTGTTGATTTTTCCCGAAAATTAGCGTGGCGTGTTCCAAAGAAATTGTCTAAAGGCTGGCCAAATTTCATTACTCTACCATGATTACTTCATACTCAGACCAAAGACTTATTGAACCCCCTCGTATTGTGTTGCTAAATGAATGAGAATCTGACATACCACAAAGACTCACCATAATTTCTCTAGCTTTTTTGAAGAAGTCCTTATCATCTGTCTTCTCAAAGAGGTAGACTGTGCCTAATCCAAAAGCACATGCAAATCCTTTGGAATACGACACAAGAGAAGTGACTTGAATGGGGTTGAGCGAGCTGCCTTCCTCAGATGTTGTCTTGCTACTGCAAATTTGAACAGAATTACGAAATATCAAACTCTTTTAAAAACAGGGGCTTCCATTAATCTCATCAGCTGTCAATTTATAAATGTACAGCTATTGTGTATTGCAAGACTAATTTTTAGCAACATGTCCATCAGAACCCTTTTTCACTACTCCTAGCTGATATAGTGACAGAAATGGTGTTAAAAAAGCTTGAAACTAGGTTTTACTAAATCAATGAACAACATCTTTGAAATTAGATCACAAATAACTGCTCTGATGCTGAGACATCATATGCACAAAAAAAGCAAGGTAAAATAGAAATACTTTAATCTGAAAAAAGAGTCATTTTTTAAAATTAACATTTTTATAAAATGGAACTGAAGATAATTCTCGTATTTTATTTGACCAGTTATTCTCTCAAAGGGCACAGGACTAAACTTACTTATCAGCATTTGGGGCCAGGTTGAATTCATTTCTCACTTCACCAGCCTCAAAGAGCAGCAGCTTGCCATTATCCGTGCCAACTATGATTCTCTCCTCAGACACCCAGGCATGACACAGGTAGTTCTGTGGCTCCATCTTCTGAAAGTTGAAGGGCTTTAGGTTTCCCTCACTGTAGCGGAAGTGGCGGAATACTGTGTTCCCAACAACGCACAGCTGGGTGTTGTCTTGAGGGTTGAAGCTCACCTGGTAATGACAAATGTAGAAGAAAAAAAAGATGAAGCATTATCTGTTACCCATCTAACTGCATCTTCTGTAATCATAATGTTACAAAAAACCAATGGCATGTGTGGAGAGTTTCAATATATGAGACACCAACAAAACTGTATGTCCTCCCCACAACGGTTGGAAATAATGAAGAGAGGAAGGTACACATTTCCTTCAGAATGTAGCTCCACACAAAGATATGAAAAAAAACCCTCAACCAACAGCCGGGCAGAACCATAACGAAACTTCATTTTTCAATCCTCAGTACGAATAAGTACTGTGATGTCAGTCATTTGCTTCATTCTTCAAGATGTCAGCGATATATCTTTAAATCGACAAGCAGAATTACAGTCTAATTTCATAGAGACAGCGAGCACTTTCATCCTGTAGCTTTTGAGTATTCTTTGTTAAATCTTTACCATTATTTTCATGAAAAGTAAGTATGCAAATTCCTTTGTTCTATAAATACAATGAATAAAAAATTGAAAGTTAACTTCCATTACTGAGGATACTTTGTTTAACTATTTCAGCTATCCTCAGCTCATTTACTGTCTTACCTGATAGACTTCAGAATTGGGGTTTTGAGGATTTGAGGTCTTTGTTGTGGCCATTACTTTAGACTTCTCCCATGTCCAGTAAAGGAGAGTCCAGTCTGGCTTGCCACCTTGAGCCACCAAGTATTTTGAATCAGGTGAGAAAGCCAGACTGATGTATTCTCCCGACTGCACCTCTGGGGAACTCAGCACTTTCTTCTTTCGTAGAGAGTGCAGGTCATAAATGGTAATGGTAGGCTTCTCTCCTTTCTCAGCAATTGCAACATAACGTCGATTTGGACTGACAGCCAGTGCAGTCATTCCTTCACTTTTATCCGTGCCTAAAGAAAAGTTTATTAAAAAGATTGTAGAGTTGGTAACATATAAAATATAACAATAAGTGTCTATTGATCTAAGGTGGATTTAGAAAACAGACAAAAAATAGAAGTAGAATGATAATGATAGGCAACATACAAGGCATTTAAAAAAAAATCATTTAGTTTCTCCATACATACATTTCTAATTTGAAAGTAAATAAAAAGTGTAAAAATTTACATTCTGAAAATACAAATTAAAAAGTCATTCTTTTAGTTTTCCTATTATGTAACTGATAAAGACAAAAAATCAATAACGTGCATCATAAAGAGCTCAGCATAATCTACACAACATATAAAAATGTTCCTTACCTGGGATAAACTTCTGTGACTTCTGGTCAATGTTGTACAGGATGCAGTTGGACCCAGCAGGGTACACAATTGTTTGCTCGTCATGGTAGCAAGTATTCCCAGACACTCCACGTTTTACGCCAAATATATAGCGCTCCTGCGCTAGTGCAATAGACATGGTGGCTGCTCTAAGTTGTCACCAGTTCTGAAAACAAAAAAGTAAAATAATTTTGAATACTGTTGTTATTAACATGTATGCAAAGAGTAATTTGTAATATATCCACACAACAAAAAGATAGCTTTTGAAAGTGAAGGACTATTATAATATATGTGTGTCTTTATTTTGAGTGAGGCAATTTAACATCTTTTACTTGATAGACTGTGGTACTTCGTTACTACAGAAGAAAATATGCTAGTGTCACCACAAAATGACAATAATATTAGCATTTATATTGCGAATATTTAATATAGGCAGATTTAAGTCAAAGCACTTATACGATCATGGTCGATTACGTTTTGACAGTTTTATGCACTCTCACATTAACAATATGACAGATTCATACTCTCCAGGGCACTTCTTTAAAGGGTTGGGGTTTTTTTGCTTGTTTGTTGTTGTTCTTTTTGGTTCACACAGCCCATGTAACAATACTCGAAATTATATTCTATTTGGATGACCAAACCAGAATATAAAACGATTAGCTTTATTTTTAGATCTATACAAAAATTTTGAAGCCCAAATCATAAAGTAAACAGACCATCAGACGGCATAATATATATTAAAGAGTGTAGTCCAGAAATTCTAATTATGTGTTTGGTTACCTTAATTAGAGCCTTAGGCTTATTACAGGTGTGCAGACTGTACTGTTTTTAACTTTAAGAAATGATAAAATTTAATGCAAATTGGGTAATAAGTTGAATCCTTACAACGAATTTTTACAGGTAATATATACCTGCTTACTAAATTTAGGCATTTGATCAGCCTGGATGAATGATGTAGATACTTGGGATACACTTACACAGACAGGGGACACTGTCAATTAAAATAACTAAATAACTTTAAATAAAAGAGCGCCCTTTAATTCTGCATTAAGCTTCTACACTGCAAAACATTTTTTAACTATCCTTAAAAGAGACTGCAATGAAAATAGTGTATAACAATGTACAAAGTTCATACGATTGGCAGGGGTCGCACGTAACAGTTAGTGTTGAGTGTATCCAGTAAACATGGCATGAACCTAGTTGTAAAGTTATCTCAGTGACAGTGAAAAAAGGCGGTCTCAATAAATGCTTGCTTTCAGTTCACCACATCATTCAAAATACATAGACACTAACTATTGTAAGAAGCACTTTTTAGAAATACATCTACCTTTTCTTTATAGTTGACTGCACTTACCTGAATGTGTTTTAGAAGTGAACTAAAACAGAAAACAAAAATAGTTGGAGCTACAACACTGCCACCATTTGTGCGTTGGTAAGTGTTGCTAGGGTGACCATTACCTCCCTTGATGGGATCTATGTCGCGGTGAATGATATTGTCCAGGTAAAACCTTTACTGCTTTTAATTAATATACAGACCAAATGCTAAACTTTTGAAAGAAATAGAAACAAAAATAGGTAAATATTGATTAAATCTGTTAAGATGCCTTCAATAAACTGTTTTCTTCAACCGCGTGATAGAATAATGCTCAGCTTCCGGGTCATATAGATTTTGACCTGAAGTTGACCCCAGCGACTGTTGATGTTGATTTCGAAAGTAGAATGTTGAGCTTTTAGCGATTTTTGTAGGTTGTTGAGATGTCGTTGTTCTGACAGTTTCTAGGTCCTGGGGAGTTTTACTGAGGCAGAGTCCTTGAGGGGATTGCCAGCTACCTTTATCTGCACGTCACTAGATCTAGATAGATCTAGATATACATCTAGCTGTGTCTACGTGAGGACATGCACGTCTGACGTCTACTTTAATTACCACCACCAACCACCAGACAATTCGTGATATTAAATAAATAACAATTGCACGGAAGTGCGGTTTTCATTTTATAAATGTATTAATTATGTCAAGAAAGCTCATGATTTTCCAGCGTTGTTTTCTGGTTCCTCACCACCGTACCGCCTGGGCGTCCTGGGCCTGGGATAGATGTTTATCCCATTCACCTGTTTTGAAGCCATTTCTGAATGGAACAGTGCAGGCAAAGAATACATCTGCCTCTGGCATTAACAGGCAAATCTCCTCTTATTCTGGTATAAATATTGCTGCTACGCAAAAACAAACTGTACCAGAGCCTAGAAAAGCACATACACACCACAGGTATCTCCTACCATATTCTGCCTCTGACAGAACGTACAGTCCTTTTCAAAACCTTCTGTTTCGTCTCTCAAGTTCAACTAGTGGTACCGCAGCTGATCGTGAAAAATCTTGTGACTACCTTGATGCAACAGATAGTGCGATATATGACATCCTGGCGGAACACATGACTGTGGTGAAAGACTTTCTTTCAGAGGATGAGGAAAAATCACTGCTTGATGAAGTAGACAGCTACATGAAAAGACTGCGATATGAATATGATCATTGGGATAATGTAAGTTGTTTCACTGAAATCTAGATGTTATTGAATGATCTCACAAAAATTTATTTCTAATCATGTGCCTTTGCCTGCATGTGTGGAATTGCATAAAATGTCTTGAAGTACAAATGCAACATGATTTATAATTAACCACTTTGTTGCCTTTGAAATGACATACCAAGTATGTCATGAAAATACATATTTAGAGCTGTGCCATACCATTACTCATGTATGTCATGCAAGTTGGCAAAATTTGCTGCTCCTGCATGGTTACCAATGACGTTACATACACACGTAACGCTAATGACCTCATGGCTATTATTCTTCTATTCGGAGTTTTAGCCACAAGCGTTGCATAGATTCGTTTTTGGGAATAAAAGATGATATATATATCGGTGCCATTGCTAGGCTTGCAAGTGATTGATAAACACTGATCTAGGATTGCGGGCGGCCATGTGCTATCATAAAACGTACACATTGAAATTACTTTAAAAAGGCAAATAAATTCACTTTTTGACTTAGATTACAGGTTATTCAAAATTATGAGTAAGATGGGAGGAAACGGAATAAAAAAGTGAGAAAAGTTACAAATCGAAGACGCGGTGTCTGAAATATGTCACGAGCACGCTAGATATAGACCGCGCGTCCATTAACACTGAGTCAAGACATTTATAAAGCTGTCCTGGGTAACGAGCTCAGCTGAAAATCAGTGATGACAGTAGGAAAACATACCCCCTGGCTATGAAAGGGTTAACGTGAATAATGGTCAAATAGTGCTGCATGAGTAACAATTACATGTTATAATTAAACATGCTTTATGTATGGCATATTTATGCCGAAGTGTGATTTAATGTTGTAAGAGTTGAATTAAGAAGGATAAAAATCTATTTTGTAAATGCAATAGAATATGACTATAGTGGCACCCGCTGCAGCGGGCTTTGTAAACTCAATTACCTGTGCTTGGGCAAGAAAGACCCGAACTTGGATATAGTGGGAGAGATCCAGCGAGCTTTAGCTGGGGGCTCCTAATGCTCCTCCCCTTTGCTTTACCTAAATTTATAGCTTTCCATCCCTGAGTTCCTAGCTGAATGTAATCATTCAGAGTGGGATCTTAGGGGTGACTTTAGTGTAGCAAAAAAATTTTTTTCTTAAAAGAATGGGATCTTAAGTGAATCAGGATCAAAGCTATGATATCTTAGATGGAGACTGCTGTAACATATTAAATTAACGATAATTATTGTTTTATCAAACGTTCTTTGTAAGATTGTATCAGTTAAGATTTAGGTTGGAGGCAGGGAGGCTCAGACTAAGATATTATTATTAAACAATTATCAAACATCACTGAGAAACATCTTATTCTTATGTCTCAGGTTTGAGGTGTCTTAATATTAATCTAATCTCTCAAAGTCGTAAATGTTGATACTGCCACTGGTCATCTGATGATGAAGAGTAAAATTGTTTTATCTTTATCTATTTATATTATTTTTTTAAAGTTCGTTACTTTGGTCACCTAAAACTTCCGAACCACTTAACTTTCGAATTTGAAAAAATTAACAGTGGTTCAGAATCATTTAAAGGGTGCACAGTTAAATTAAGGAGTCTGAAGTCACTGTAGCTTAATTTTCAGCTTGTCATTAGTATTGTTTGGATCTAATCTTGGCAAAGTCCGTCCTCTAAGACGCCATTGTTAACAAGTGAGACTTCCGTTCACATGCATTGCGCACTGATCCCACAATGACTTGATGATTGATTCTTTTGAGTCCGTTCATCAAACGAGGGTACCTAGTTAATTATTCATAATTTTGGTGTCTATTTCAATACAATACATGGTATATAATTCTCTTCTAATTGTTAAAAAAAAGTTAATTATATATCATATTTTTAGCCCAAATGCAAAGTTCCATTTTTGCTTATTTGCTTGTGGTATTTTTTCCATTATGCTTCAGGCTATTCATGGCTACAGAGAGACGGAGAAAAGGTCGTGGAATGATGCCAATTCTCAGATTCTGCAGCGTGTCAAGGATATTGCATTTGACGGAGGAGTGTCTCCCCTTGCATATGTCCATGTTTTAGACATTGCTAAAGAAGGCTACATAAAGCCACACGTGGATGCGGTTCGGGTAGGTGATTATGAACAGCAGACTTCAATTTTAACATCCTTAATAATTAGCTTCTTTTTATTTTCTTGGGCGACAAGCTAATATGTTCTGATGACATTCTTGCAGTGAAATAATGTAGGTTCGTCGCTGAAAATAGCTAAATGGACACAGATGTTAGTTTCTTCTCATCTTAAGCTTTTCCTTTTTTTTCCAGTTTTGTTGTCTTTTCGTCTTTCCATGAATCAAAATGCTCATAACACTGGCCTTATTTGGAAATCTGTGACAATACAATGTTTTATTTTAAGTAAAGCACTTTCCTCTGTATTGCATTTTATTTACATCGTTTGAGGCTACATGTTAGGTTTATGATACTAAGACAGGTATTAAATATTTTATCAATTTTCCCAAGGCAGCTTTAACCAAAATTTGCAAGACAGCCGAATTTTCTACAGTTTAACTTTGTTATTGGTTTAGAGAGATAGCTAGGGGCTCTCATGGCCTAGAGGTTAAGGTGTTTGCCTCTTGTTCTATAGGTCGTGGGTTCGAATCTGGAGAGCGAAGGAAAATTCTCTTCTGTAAATTTTTTTTCTTTTCACATCCTTTCCTGCTCTCTAACAATGTTCTGTTGTCTGCATTCGTCTCCACTTTTTCTCCCTAGCCCCTCATCCCCTTTGCCCCCTTCTCTGGGCTCCTAACTATTTCTGCAGCCTTTCTACTGCTACTCCTTGGCTCCTTCTTACTGCTGTTTTTCAGCCACACCCCTGATCTTATGGTAGGTAAGATCTACACCTAGCCTTCTCGGACAAGGGCGGAAAATCTCGAATGTATTTGTATTCAACTAATTTAATAGATTCTGTCAACAATCATCTATCACATTTAATAGTGGAGCAAAAATTTGAGGACCATACCATACCCCTGCTGATGATCCAGGCAGAGCATGCTGAAGCCCCCTCCTAACACACACATGCATCCTTACCACACATAAACTGTTTGTCTCTGACAGGTCAATCATAGAGTACAGTGGTATCTACTCTATTTTTTCTCTTTTTGACTTCCTAAATACATGTACAAAGCAATCGTTTACTGTGCTGCCAAGCTGACGATGTCCTAGACAAGGGCTAGACTAAAATGCTTTGCTTAAATGTGTGTCCATGTCTTATAATAGATGATAGCAAGCTGATAAGTTTGTAATATATGATCCTAAGTGTAAGATGTTGGTGTAGGATGATCGAGATTCCTTGGGATAGAGTAGACAAAGTTGGTAGTGGGAGAAAAATGTTCAAAGCCAGATCAACGGGGTCTGTTCATGCAAGTGACTTAATTTAATCTGAGTTTGTTAGTTTAAGGGTCTTGTGAATAAATTTGATTGATTTTAGTGAATTTAAAAATGGGAAATTATTCTTCTTTCGTTGAGTGAAGAGTTTTTATTGATTCTGAGTTTGCTGAACGTGAGTTTCACTGTAATTTGATCTTCTCATACATGCGGCAATATAATTCTAAGTTTTCAGTTAAAAGTTTCCTGCATTTATTTCAGTTTTGTGGAGATACCATCGCCGGGATGTGCTTGTTGTCTTCATGCGTCATGCGACTGGCACTAGAAAAAGACAAGACAAAATTTGGGGACATACATTTGCCCCAGAGGTGTTTGTATATCATGAGGTAATGATGCAGGCAGTTAAACAAAAAGAATATTCATATTTTATCCCTTTTATGGCCATATGTACCGACCATTGAGGTAGTCTTTGCTTCCTTCTTGAATTGGACAAGTTTTCTTCCCTTTTTATTTAAATGCTGCTGTTTTCTCTTGTCCTGTAAAAGTATAATGAATGTTCCAGTTCTAGTTCTTAAGTAACGGTATACAGTGAAGTGTGCTTAAAACAATCACATTTAATCTGTAAATACTGGTATACAGAAAGAAAATGGAATCCCCAATTTTTTTCTTCGTTGTCTTTGTAAGAAACTATTGATAAGCTGAAATACCCTTATAATTTCTAAACTGAAAATAATTTTTAGGGTTATGTAATCTAACTTTCACTAGCGACCTTTAAGTAATGCAAGTCATTAAGTGTTATGTACTTCAAGATAGCGAAACAAAAGAAAGAGACAGGAGAACATATGTGTGTCGATTATGGGTGAGAGAGAGGCATCGCCAGTGGACTGTTTGAGTATTTTTATGGCACAGTATGTGTGACTTGAGGATAGCGAATGTACATTGTCACGTGACCTTTTTTGGTCATGACCTACTGTTTCTGCAAAGCTAGTTCACATACTCAATAGTATGTGATGGCATATATGATGTATTTGATGATCTCACTTGTCTATCCTAGCGCCGAGCAGAGTTCAATGTTTTATTCAAAATGCTGATCTACTCTTTCGTTTGTTCTATGTGGCTATTTGGCAGATTAAGAAAGCAATGTTAAAGGGAAGGAACAATGTGTAGAGCCTGCAGCTCAGATTGCTTTTATTGGAAGAGGTAGATGAGAAAAAAACTTTCGACAAGTGTTGCCGCAAGTATGGCATTCCCAATTCGATTCTGTCAACAATCATCGCTATTTGAGCAACCCTTCTATACTAAAAAACATATTTTGGTTTAAGGGGAGGAGCGACCCTTGATTTTGCCGATTTGGGGTCAGGCTATGCACATTGAGATGTTGGCTGATTTTTTCAGATCAACCAGTTCTTTGTCTAAAAATAGCATGGAAACAACTGAGAAAGTCTTTTTTTTCTCCTCGTGAATTGCCTTTGAAAACACGAGGGTGGGTTAATTTGGTGAATTTTCAAAATAATTGTCGTTTTTCACAAAATGTCATTTGTTGGCCACATGATTTTTAAGAATGGTCGAAAAAGATATTAGACATCTTTTCTTTTCGAGTTGTTGATTGATTTGTTGTGAAGTTGGTTTACTGGCGTTGTTTCTCTGGAGGGAAACAACATTCCTACTGAACAGTGCCTAAATGTACGGAAAAGTTATTTTAGTTTTGCTAGTCATTTTCATTTTTCTTATTGTTTGCTATGATCCTTCTTTTCTGTTGCTGTCATATGACCAGATACATCAGGTCTCAAAAGAAACACCTTAGCCATCATATGACAGTAACTTGGTACAGCCCGTGTCATTGTTCAGTGTTCATCTGTCTCAATAATGTAGAGTGTGCTAGCAACTGAGGGCTTGTGAATCTTTGTAGGAGGGTACCTATTTTGTCCCTGACAAAAGAAATGCTTTCTGTAGTAACTCATACACCGTAATCCTAATATGGTGCTGTTTGCCAAATGGCTTTATACATGAATAGGATAGACGCCCTCCCCAATTTTTGAACAATATATTTGTTCAGTATATTAAAGCAATATCTTTACCCAAAAATCAAGATTGAAAATTGGATAAATCATGCCTTGTTATTTTTCTTGTGGTTTATGTTTTCTTAACTCTTTATCTCTGAGGGGGGTAAGCCCACTATGCCGGGGTCCTTTTTTGGTGCTAAATCTAAAAATTACGAAATTGTCACTTAATTGGTCATTAAATCAAAATAAGTGAACCTATTTTAAAAGCTCTTCAACTAATGAATGAAATCAGGATAAAAGAGACCTGTTTGCTGAAAAGTAATTTGATGTCGAAGCCGTAGTAAAGGAATGTGACCAGGCCGCTGTCAGTGGCTCAGCGGCACAGTAGTTCTGACCGCATGCTGCTGGGAGCGGCTTGCCGGAAATAAAGAGTTGAGAAACTCTTTTAGTCGGCATTATGCTGTTGTAGTCAAATTGAGTTTATTATCCTTATTTTTAAAATGTTTCTTCTCTTCTTTTCTCAGAGGAAAGGCAAGGTACGACTTCACACATGAAGTGTTAAAAGAGGAGGAATCCATTTTCAAGGGTCAAACTATCCCCCGTGACAGACGGATGTCAGTGATCTGTCGGAATGAACCTGATCCAGCTGATCAAGAATGACACCCACATTGTTAGTTCTGATTGTCTTTCAACACTGTAAGCTTTTATCTGAAAGGGATTGTGAGTTTCTGAAATACTGCTCTCATAAAGTATTTTTATGCTATGTCGGAATAAATGTTCAGAGACGCCTGTGGGTGTTTTGCTTTCAGGGGCAGGTGAAGAAATCTGGAGGATGATGAGAAGATTGACATTTGTGAATATAATATATTAATAGGAGTGAATGTTTCAAATATACATATGCCACTAACTGTTGTATGAAGTGCTTCACCCTAAAGTTTAGGACCTTTTGCATGAATATTTTGTACTGAATGAATGATTAAGTGAAGACTCCTTTTGAAATATTATGCAAAAATCTATATCCTACTGAATGCTAATTTTTCATGAATAAAAATGCTTATAACATATATTATGTCTCATGGCATCTTTGCTTCAGAATATTTACACAATTTGTGTCAAGAATGTATGTGGTCTAGTTTTGTCCTTATTGTCCTGAATTCTTCACTGTCATTTTCTGTTCATATTTTTTGTCTTACTTTTTCGTTTGGACTGTCATTGGAACAGTGCTCCTTCCTCTCATTAGATCAAGTAAACTCATGACTTTGATGTACATTTGGTGACACAAGGGGGCTATCCGGATAAATGCTGTTTTGAGAAAAGCGAAGTTAAAGAATTTGGATCCTTATTGAGTCTCTTTAAGAGACGAGGAGAGTTTTCTGTATAACCAAACAAATATACACACCAATGAAACCAAACTCCTATAGGTAGGGCAATGACCACTTTTGATGTAGGTAATGATTTCTGGAAACCCCAGAAATCTGAGTCAGCCCGCTTGTCCTTAAAAGCAGCCATGTGTATTTGTCATATTATGGTGCCTTATGACTTTTTCAGGCTTAACATTAAATATGCCCACATAATTCCTACTTTATTTTGAGGTAGTGGAATTGTTTATTGAACTATTTTGCTGAAAAAGAATGGGTTTTGTGTGATTCATGAGACTAAAATCTGCCTTATGCACTGTATTTGAATCGTGAAATCCCCACACGCATTACTGTGCACGATTGTCACAGAGCGTATTTTGAGAATCTAAACTACTGTTTAATCCAAATACATTTAGCTTAATATGCACAATAATGAGCAACACCTGATATTATTTGCACAGGTGGAATGCCGGTAGTGAGGGGGGGGGGGGGGGGGTCAAGAATCAATCTGTGTGGAAGGAGAAAATAGATCTGCCCTCTGAGCTTGTGTATAAATCATAAATGTCTATTTTAGTGCAGTCTGATTCAAAATCTAAAAATTACGAAATCGTCACTTAATTGGTAATTAAATCAAAATAAGTGAACCTATTTTAAAAGCTCTTCAACTAATGAATGAAATCAGGATAAAAGAGACCTGTTTGCTGAAAAGTAATTTGATGTCGAAGCCGTAGTAAAGGAATGTGCCCTGTCTCTCAATCTTCACACATTGTGGTAATACTAGTTACTTCTGCTTGCAGATGAGATGTTATGCAAGGCTAAACTGCCAGCCTACCTCTCTGATTCTATACATAGTTTGGACACTTTTTGTGTTCATATTATATTAGGGGATGCATCTCAGTTACCCAATTTATTGCAACACTTGTATTTTTCCCTTTGTTCAATTGGAGGATCAAAACATTTTAATGGAAGACTCCACATAGTTGAAGTGTATGGACTTCTGTCTGAACTTTTGATTGCATCTATTTCATGTTGATGCAATTGAGGGATATCTTGAACTGATATAATGTGCATGACTTTACTACAATGGGATTTCAGGGGTTCATTTTTTGCCAGACCTTACCTTCAGTTGACTGATCAGCTTAACAAAAGTACTGGACAGAGGACATGATTTTTGTTTAGCCCCCAAAATATAGCAAAGAAATATTGTAATAATTAAGTGCTTTTACACTCTCTCATTAACACAATTTAGATTGTTTTGGAGACTGTCTACTCCTACACGACCTGTTAGTCAGTGACTGGAGAGTTTCCATTGTAAAAAGCACCTCCTAAGAATTACATGGGTGTTCTGCCCTGGTCAAGCCGGGGTGCATGGAAATGAATGTGCTGATGAACTTGCCAGCAAAGCAGCACCCAATGGCTGAATCATGCTCGACCCACCAATGGTGATCACCAGATGCAAGGAGAGTCTTCACAACCAAGAGGAGACAGACTCCCACACACTCAGCACAATAAAAGAAAAGTGTGTGCGGGGCACAGGGAAAAAAAGTTTGCTCCGAGGAGTGGTCAGGCGTGTCTCAAACCAGCTCCTCCTGGAGATAATTAGCAGGAAGACCCAGGGGTGGACACTGGAAAGGAGAGATGAGCAGCTATGGACATGTGCCACCTGCTATGATTCTAGTTGTGGATCCAAGTAATCCTACTGTGATCCTCACCATTTTCTATGCTCTTCATGCTTATGTTTGAAAATTAAAACAAGAAGAATACTGTTAAAATCATTTTGTATGTTTACATTCTAAAAATTGTGTCATCATTGTTTTGTTTTTGTTTTTGTTTTTTTGTTTTTTTTGTAAGTGTTTTATTGGGACGCTCAATGTTAAAAACAATCAGGAAACGACAAATGCAGTTTTTGGGACACCTGAATAGACATAAGGGTCTTGAACCTCTAGCTCTCACTGGCAAAATTGAGGGCAAGCGAGGCAGGGGTAGGCCCAGAACAACATACTTAGGGAACCTAAACAAATGGGTAACAGGGAAAAATCAGGGAAACGTAGTTTTTCTGAGAGCATCCGAGCAAAGGAATGAATGGAAAATCATGATCGCCGATGTCTGTCGCAGATCTGGCACTGGATGATGATGAAGTGTTTTACGGCGCTCGCAACTGCATAAGGTCATATGAGCGCGCAGGACACGCCTAATATTTTCAGTTGGTAGGAAATTTTGAATTTTGCCCGGGTGGTGGCCGAAGCCTACTCTTATCCATTTTAGACCACCAAGGGATCTTTAACGTGCGCAACTTGCACACGGGCCCTCCGAGATTTTTCGCCCTTGTCCGAGAGGGCTAGGTGTAGATCTTTCCTACCAGAAGATCAGGGGTGTGGCAGAAAGACAGCAGTAGGAGGAGTCAAGGAGTAGCAGTAGAAAGGCTGCAGAAAGAGTCAGGAGCCCAGAGAAGGGGGCAAAGGAGGTGAGGGGGTGGGGGCAGAAAGTGGAAATGAAAGCAGACGACAGAACATTGCTAGAGAGCAGGAAAGGAGGTGAAAGTAGACAATTTCTAGAGAAGAACATTTTTCGGTCGCTACCTGGATTCGAACCCGGGACCTTTTGAATGAGAGGCCAACACCTTAACCTCTAGGCTACGAGAGCCCCCCATCATAGTTTTGTCCGAAAGAATTTGACTGGATGTTATATAACGCTGCTTACAGAGCTTAGCATGCCATCTGCAGGTTTGTATACATGTTTGTGTTGTAGAAGGAGATATACATGAATAGAAAAATTCAAGTAAAAACGTAATATTACAAACTTTGTCATCAACCCTCTGTGCTACATTTTAGGTACCCACCTATTGGCGAAAGCTCATAAAGTGGCGGTTAAAGCAGGTTCGGTTGTGTTATTGCTATATTCTAGTGTGGTCTATACTAATTTGATAATTTGCAAAACTGAAATATCCTCACTTTAGTTTATTATTCACATTGAATCTTAAGTACAGTAACCCTCCCTCACCTCAAGCTCAACATGAACTCTCTCACAAGACTGTTCCTTCGTTCTCCTTTACCAAGCACCAGCTTATGTCAACATGATGAATGAATTAAAGATTGCTTAGATACTGCAAATATTTTGATTGCTTGCCGATGGTTTTCTTTTTAACATCTCCCCTTCACACCCTTCTATTTTAAACCCAAAATTGCAATGAAGAACTGGTGGTTCATACACTTTTTAAACTTGTGTCCTAGCACAATTTGAAGAAGGATGAAAGCAGAAAAAGTAAAAGTAACTGAGGGACATACTACCCTCCCTCTCCCTGTGTTTTCTTACTGAACCTAACTTCTGAGACCTACATTTTTGGGTGTTACTCCTTATTCTAAGCTTGCTTTAAAGATTAATCAACATCATATATTTGAAATATAATATATGGAAGGATATAAAATGCATACAGAGAGAAAATAGGAAAAGGCCAAAATTGTAGTCTATATATAAGATATGCGTTGTTCAAGTGAATTTGATTGCATTCAAACAATTGAAACTACGCGCACAGAACGTTTATAACGCAGAGAAAATTATAGCTCTCACGCTGAAAAAGACTGCTCTTTTTAATATCATGTAATACATCGGTTGGCTATTGTAATTTCTTTTCATGAAGGGCGGTAATTTTCATGTTCTCTTATTTAAACTATTCGTGGGTCACGTCCCCTGATTCATTCTGTTTGTGAAAACGAAAGTTGTCTTTCTTGAAAAGGTCACCGCTGACAAAATGGCGGAGGTACAGAATGTCGATCCTGTCATGGAAAAGCCATGGCAGAGAGCGAAACGTTTTCAAAAGTATGATTTCTTCAGGAAGTCAGCGTTTCCTCCCATGCAGATCGAGCCTTTTCAAGATGAACGAGCCAGACTTGCTGGGGAAGGCATGACACCCGAGCAGAGAGCTTTGAGAAAACAATGGGTGAAGGATCAAATTCTGCATCATGAGCCTCGGAGTGTACCCCAGCTTCAGCCTTACAATATCTTTCGAAGAATTTACAGATTCCCAGCCGATGTTCTCATTTACGGTCCAGCACAGAAATTTGTGGTGAGTGTTTCAATTTTTCTTTTTTTAGGGTCATCATGAGTCTTCAACTGCAGTGGAGTCCGCAACTGAACATGGCGGCTAATGTTAATTTTGGAAGGACTTCCGTAACGAGCGACCACCCCATCAAACACAATAAAGAAGAGGCCTAGAATCTAGACATAACCCTACCCCCACCCCTACCCCTA